AGGCATTCAGGTCTGTTCTGATCAGCAACTCTCATTTTGTGTAGAAGGAGCAGCAATGGTGCCAGCAATTCTTCTGCGAATCATGTTGATTGTGATTTTACGTCTCATTTTAACGATGTCATGTGGCATAAAATGTACCTGGGATATATTAAACCTCTAAACTGAGCAAGTACATGACAAAATAATACATAAAAGGGAAAAAGTCAGCTATAATTCTGTTTAATAATAATGCATCCTACTTAAGGATCTGTTTAATTCTTAGGGTGATTTTACAAAAGTGAAGTTCAGGCATAGTTAATATCTTTAATATTTCTCATTAATGGCCCTTAACCACTTCCCTTACAATTTTTTTTGAAATAATTGTAAAAAATCATCACATTTTATTTTAATATTAAATACAACAAAACAAATCAAAATATGTAGGTTTTAAGTTGAATTTTTATAATTTTTTGAAGGTGTAAAAGCATTTAGTTTTAATATTAGTTTACTATCCCGAGTTATCTCGGGCAAGCGAAAAAGTTAGGTATTAGTTTTTGAAACAAAGGACAACACAAACTGATAATGATATTCTGTACCCTGGTCTCTTTTCTTAGGCTTACCACTGGAATCTATCCACAGAGTGCACTGTCTTGTTGGATTTGATTTTTTTTCCCCATCTCTTCATAATCACTATCTAAAAAATCATCACTTTCGCCATCTTGCAACATCGCTATTATTTTACTTTTTTCAACGCTAATATCCTTCTTTTTATTAATCCACAAGCCGACGTATACTATAGGAAAACACGTGACCAGTCTCGCCAAAAGAACTGGGCAACCAACAAAACTTGGAAAACTGCTAATCAAAGCTGAATATTTCCTTTCATTTCCTCCAGGCCGAGTAAAACCGTGATAAAACAAATCGTACTAACAAATTCTACTTCGCGTGAATTTTCTCGGGATAATAATTAACTGCAATATATACGAACCCAAGATAACTTGGAATAATCAGGCAAATGGTTAAAAGTACTTAATTACCATGTGCAGAAATGTGTATAAACCATGGTTTTCAATCAGTTTTTAAAAGTACCGCATTTTCTGGCATTTATATTTCTTAAAATAATCAGTTTTAGATGTGATAGCTTTTAATTTAGAGGGGGGGAAATTGTGTATATTTGTGATCAATAAGATTTTTCATTATATAAATGAAAGTGCAGTGATTCTTATAATAAATGAACATATATAATGGGAATTAGTGTGAATAGATTTATTTTTATTTAAATTTAATAATGTTTTCTTTGATTCGTATATAAAATAGAAAAGTATGGTACCTTTATATTTATTTATCACAGCAGGAAGAAAAGAAATATTTAGTGCAAATAGTTAAGCTGATAAATTGTGATTTGATCGAACTTAAATATTACCAGTTATGTCTTACAGCCATCCATCACGAAAATTAGAAATGTCTTATGTTTCTATAATTTTATGCTAGTAAATAGAAAAACAGTTTCATTCTGGAAGTTAGTACTACTTTCTGTTTGGCATAAAAGTTCTGAAGAATATTCGTATTTCAATAAATCAACCGTCAGCTGAACACTGGTAAAAAAATCAGTCAAAATAGAGTTTGTCCCTTGCTTGTTAAGGGTTTTATCAAATGCATACATTGTATCTTAATCTTTTGCCTCTCCTCACAACTTTATCTCTTTTTTCTCTGTACCGTTCAAAACTTACAGTACAACCCAAAGGAAATGTGCATAACACAAATTTTAAGCCAGCACTTATCTGGTTTTAAAGGTATATGCTGTGCTATTTCTAAAATGCCCTTTGAATTTTACCATAGTTTCATGAACTGAAAGATGCTTATACAGCTTAAAACAATCAGCAAACTGCCCTTATACTTGAGAAATAATAGGCTCTAAATTTCACAAAAAATTAATGTTTTCATAGTTTTTTTTTACCTTCTTTATTGGAGTCATGAAATGTTTAATTTTTTAAAATCTACGTTCTACATTAATTTCTTTATCTGTTCATTGCCAAGTATAGGATTCTGGAGCCAATAATCATTCGTTCTGGATAAATGCATAATGCTCATTACCAAAAAAGAAAAGAAAAAAAAAGGGCCTATATCTCATTTACAGAGAGTGCTCATTATATAGCCTGCCAGCTTCTATCTTCTATATTCACGTTTTTTTGCACAATACTCTGCTTATTTATTTGTATTTTGTCTAAATTACTTCACGGTATTCATCAGGCACAAGTAATCTGAAATAATCTTAATGATTATTTCAGATTACTTGTTTAACAGATTAATTAACAGATGATCCAGTTGGCAAATTATGATATATGGTAGAAAGATCCAAATTTCATGTCCTTGTTATTTATGTTGTTCCTGCAGTCTGATTTGATGGCATCATATGAAGAGTCCAAATTTTCACCACTTTCTAAAACAGATTGTTCTAAATGATAATGGTTTCAATTTCATCACCCCCATTATCTATCAATCAATATTTTGCATGTTTATCATTTTCATCGGATTTAATGGAATCGAAATAATATGGCATTTATTTTTTCTTGCGTTAATATCTTACACAAGCATTTTGAAATGAAGATACAGAATAGAAATGAGACATTTTTACTATCTGAGGCAGGAGTAAAATGAGTAATCTAGATGAGTCACCTCTCCTGGGAGTGTCACGCTTAACAAAGGAGAGCGAATGTGCATTCAAGTAAGAAGCTACTTTAGTTGTTTCAAAAGAATGATTGACATTTAACAACTCACGAAATTAAATAAGCTATGCATTACTGTGATGGGGGGAGCAGCAAGTAGAAAATGAACAAGGCATTCGGGCGACCTGCCGATGTCATGGGCGACTTCGATGCAAAAGAAAAGAAAAGTGAAAAAACTTAAAGGTAACTTTGAGTTGGTGTAGTCAATATATGGCATGGAGTGATTTAGTTCTACGAGAAAAAACAAAAATTTTGCAAAAGCTTCCAAAAGATTTGGTTAACAAATTGATAGGTTTCTGGAAGTATGTTATTGACCTCCTTCAAAGGCAGAAAAGTTTACTGCCACATATTGGAAGTATAGATGAAATTCCAGTAATGTTTGATATGATAGGAAATAAAACAATTGATGTGAAAGGAACAAAAATTGTTCACATGAAAACAATAAGTGAAGAAAATTTTCACCTCACCATATGGTGCAAAATTAAAATCCACGGTTATTTTTAAATGAAGACAATGCCGAAATGTAATTTCCCAAATTGTGGTTAAAGGTGTTTGGCAGAAGTGTCCTCTTGTCTCAAAGGATCCAGAAATAGTTGAAGGGATGTAATCCAGACATGGCAGTTATTCCAGGTGGAATAAATACTGTGAGACTGCTGATAGGAATAAAACAACTGATGTGAAAGGAACAAAACGGTTCACATAAAAACAAAAGGTCATGAAAAATCTCGCCTCGTCATATGGCTTTCCTGCTTAGCAAATGGTCTAAAATTAAGACCCATAATTATTTTTAAAAGAAGATGCCAAAGTATAATTTCCCAAATGGTGTTTTCATTTGCGTTCATGAAAAAGGGATGGATGGATGAAAATAGTGTTAAATTGTGAATAAGAAATGTGTCTCAAAAGTACCCTGTTACCTTAGAGAAGGGTTTCTTAAACTTTTTTCAGTCGCGACCCTTTTTTATCACAGGGATTCTTGTGCGACCCCCAGGACCCCATATTTGCGAAGGCTTTGTGAGACCCCATGAGCATTGTGTAAATCCGACACGCATGTGCGAAACTGTCAATTTTTTCACTTGTACTGTAATATACTGTTGCAGTTTTAGGTCATTAATTTTAATTTCTAATTTTAAGACATAGAACAATGTGAAAATTGTAAATAAGTAAAAGGCGATATGCCAGTGTCACGTGCAAAGCAAGTAAAATGAATGTTTGTTGTATAAAAAGAATGTGTCGAAACGTTTTTCTTTGTCTGTATTGTCTTATCTTTATCAGATACATTGTGTAAAAATATTTAGTACTTGTAAAATTATTATATAAAGTTAAAGAAATATCAAAACTGCTATATTTTTGGCGACCCCCTCCCTGCAGGTCCCACGACCCACAGTTTAAGAAGCGCTGCCTTAAAGGATCCAGAAAGTCTTTTAGTTTGAAATTTTTTCAGAAACCATCTAATGGATGAAATAAAGAAATTGATGAAAGAATGTAATGGCTGTTATTCCAAGCAGATTAATGCCATTCATTCATTTAGATGTGTCTCAATAAATCATTCAACAAAGGCACAAGTTAAAGTTTAAAATTTTAAAATAGTCTTAGAAAAACAGTAAAAGTATTCTTTGTCTTTATCAGTCGTATATCTACAAGTTACAGTAAACAATGCAAAAAATTGCCAAATTATAGCATCAGAAACATAAACAAATTAAAAAAGATTGGAAAGGCTAGATAAATTTGTACAATTATTTTGAGTGGTTCAAAATCAAAAACAAAACTTGCAAAGATAATAATCAGACTGCCAGTAAGATAGTACCAGGTTAAAATTACCTGTAAACCACACTATAATAAATTCTTCAGTTTCTTTGCACTAACAAAATGTAATAAAAATCCAATTAAATTCAGATTTATTGCTAATGGAGTGAATAATTGCAAAATAAGAATAAAAAAATTTCATCAAAATTTTTAAAACAGTATTGAAATCCATAAGCAGACTGATATTGAATACATAACAACTGGGTTATTGACAATATTCAGGAATCATTAAAACTATTAACAAACAACAAATTTACATTATTAACTGCTATAATTTTGATAACCTGTACATCACCTTGCCATTTTATGAAATTTACAATAGTTTAATTGAACTCTGTCATCTATTTCCCAGCATTAAAAACTTAACATCAATAAATGGGATTATTATATTTATGTACAGTTATTCACAATTTTATTAAATATAATAAAATATTTTGACAGATTAATGATATTCCTGTAGGAACTAACTATTAAATTTATATTTTTGTATAGGCAGAGCCTCCAGATCCTCAGAAAATTCCAGTTCAAGATGCCGTTGGAGTAACAGTTGTTCTTCTAACTTGTTTGTATCGGTCAAAAGAATTTATTAGAGTGGGGTATTATGTCAATAATGAGTATGTTGATCCAGAGATGAGAGAAAATCCACCAGCTGTACCTCAGTTTGATAAGGTTTGTTGATATTAAAGAAAAAATTCTTTTATTTTAAATTATATATGTTTACTCAATTGCATGGATTTCAAATCATTGCAGATTTTTTACAGTGAAATTTTCAGGTAAATCGATACTCTGTTGCAGTTTTTTCCAGATATCTATAAGTATTTGATACTCAGAAATTTTCAGCCATCAGTTTTTTGCAGTGTGTGATGTGTTGGATTTTTTGCAGAAAATAGATGTTTTGCTGAAAATTTGCATAAGTTTAGCTTCTTATTTTGGCATTTCGGAGAGAGGCTGTGTTTCCTCTTGTGCAACCAAGTGAATTCAAACATAATTTGCAAAAATATAGCCATAGCATGAAATTTTGAATTTCATTTTAAGAGCTTCTTGGTTCTGTAAAAAGTATATGCAGTCAAAAGTCTTTAATCCGGACTCATTGGGACTTCGGCGATTCCGGATTATCAATTTTTCCGGATTTCATCAGTTTTAATCTGGTAAGATGGCATGCAGAAATTATAAAATTAAAATATGAAACCGTAATTTATAAAATAATGAGCAATATGATCTAAAGGGTATCAAATTTACCAAAAAAAGTCTAAATTTATTGTTTACTTTATTAAACTTTCTTTCAACACGCGGATGCGTAAAGCATACCTTACGCATAGCGAAATTAGAAATTGCAACCAGAAAACTATTTGATTTGTATCGTGATATTTATAATGACTAGGAATTTTGATTTATCATATCAAGACGGAGTACATCGAAATTAAATACTATTTAGTAGAATTATAAGCCGAATAAAATAAAACACTTGCCCTGAAGATAACGAAGTGTGACAGATCAACTTCCAGTTCATTGCGTGCCGCAACTCCCCCCCCCCCCCGCAGAGCAGCGTGAAATTGATAAACGATTTCGAACGGTTAGATAAACAAAGGATATGCTTTATCATTTTTTGTAGCAATTCGTTTTTGTTTGATGGACATCGAAACATACTTTTGTTTCTAGATTCCTTTGGGGAGCTCCAGCATCGGAAATTCTATTTGATAATCGAAAGTTCAAGCTTTAGAAAATTGCTAACAGTCTGCAAAAAATAATAAGCCGGATCCATTCGAAGATAAGGACAACGCAATATCAACATTAACTGAAATAGATAATTTAGCTATACCTCCGTATAACGCGCACGCGAAAACGTATTCTGCACTTGCGGAGCATATGCGCAGTCGTAATGTCTTGCGCGCACGAGTAGCCTATCGCATGCGTCAATGCGGCGTGCGCAGAAAAGATTTTAGCTTTGAGGTCCGGATTATAGATCATTCCGGATTACGGGTGTCCGAATTAACGATTTTTGACTGTAGTAGACTTATGTTTTTATGAATCTTCTGCTTATGCTGTTTTTATTATTATTATTATTTTTTTAAATATGCTGTTTCAATACCATTCTCATTTGTGAACCTTCGATAAAATCAATTCTACTGTGTCACTAAGATTATGGAATTAAGAAATTATTGGGGTTGTTAAATGTAATGTACATCCTCTAAAACCCCCGATTTAATATATTTTTTGATCAAATCCCGAAAAGTAGCAATTGAACATTTTGGAAAACCCAGAAAAGTTGGAAAATTCAAAAACTAAGAAAGGTAAGAAAATTTAAATATTTCAGTGATAATCTGGAAATGTCTGGGAATTTTATATGGCAACCCTCCCCCAAATGCGCTCTTCTTTATATATATATGCCAATGTTGGGAGTAATTACTTTCTTGGCAAACTACGTATCGCATGAGCATCATTCAGACAACTGGCGTAGAGCCAATTTTCACAGCTCCAATCAAGATTCTTTCAGAAAGGCAAAACAAGTTTCCAGCAACTTTGGTTTTCAGTAACTTCTGAAAATCGAGAGGTTCACATGTGCCGGGCATGTTGAAAGAAAGAAAATATCTTCCCATTCTCGTATAAAACAAAATTCGTTTTATCCTAGTGCAAGGTACACACTAAATATGGCGATATTATGATGCGCAATAAACTGGACATTAATGATGAGCAGTATACAGGTAGTTTTGGTGTTGGTGACAATTTTCAAAATCATGCCATGGCCGTACTGTATACTAGGATTTTACCACATCTTTTAAACCTTTTTTTCCCCCTTTCTAATAAATGCCTTATTTGTAATTTTGCAGTAAAATAAAAAATAGTAATCAGTCATCTATGCTAATAATTTAATTATACTAATCATAATTGCCAAGATATCATTGATTATTGTAATTCATTTTTAATCTTTAAGTAATTAACTTTATTTTAATGTTATTCATATCATTTAGTGTGGCTTCTTCCTTCTAAGTTTATTTATTAGTAAATTAATACTTTCAAATTTCAAGCAATTTTTGATGGCATGCTCCTGAAACTAATTCTGGCAGTATGATGCAATACCATCATGAAATCAAATGCATATATCTTTTGCTTATGTATGCTGCTAAAATAAATATAAAATACCTGAATTTATTTTTAAATATCATTAAATAGGTATCTTTCATTTGTTTAGCTGCAAAATTATATACATATTTTAATCTAGATTGGGCAGTTTTTAATCTTAGTCTTCAGTGGAGAGAAAAAACTCGTATTATAGTTATAATAGTAATTATTTGGGGGCCGTCATATGTAATTGGCAAGTTTTTGAGATTTCAAGGGGTACCATAATTAACCTCTCAGCACAGCCAATGCACACTACATGGATACTCTATCCAGAATTTTCTTAAAATATACCTGGAAAGGTCAGGGAATTCCATTCTTCTGTTTAAGTGGCAACCCTATTAATAATTAGGCCTTCTGGTGAACTGTTAACAATATTTTATTAACTGAACAGTAGATATATAATGTATAGACATGAATCTGAAATTGTTGTCAGTCTTAAAAGTAGAATGCTACGTAGTAAATAATTTGAATCCAATTAAACATTCGACAGTGTTTGTTATGATGAGTTTAATGTTTAGAAATTATAGTTGAAACTGAATGTGTTTCATATATATATATTTTAATATTAAGACTATTTAATATTTGTTTTACTACTTTAAAGCCTTTCTAAAATTCAAATACAAATATTTAGGGGTTTCCCATTTTGAATGATCATCAAGTAGAATAAGTATTCTGTCTGTTTCAGAAATTATTGCCCCACCAGTGGCTGTATTTAAGACCCCTGAATACTGAAAATAACTTGGGTTCTGTCCTATGCAAATGACGTGACTGCATAGTTTGTTATATTAGGAAGGGTCCCAATGTCTAGTCAGTTTCCCTTACAGGGTTCTCTGCAACCCTCCTTCCTTTGATAACCTTCATATGCGTTGTCATATTCAAACGAATTTAATGTAACGCTCGGAAATTAATTATTAAAGATTTAGAAAATTTATCGAAATAAAGTGTTCTGGTTTCTTGGTTACTTAAGCCGTAATATTGTTGTATATAATTTTTCTAATTATTTTTAAATATTAATATATGTTACAAAGTATTTATTTTTGATATGATATATCTTTTCAGCTCCAGAGAAATATTCTTGCAACATCTCCAAGAGTTACACGATTCAAAATTGATTGGGACGATAATCCTGGTGTAGATAATCTACAAGCTCCTAGTTCTTCTTCTGAAAATAAAATGGATGGTGCAGAAGATAGTAATGGTCCACTGAAACAAATATTTCAAGAGAGTAACCATAGTATGGAAATGGAAGTTATGTGATGAAAATATTTTATTTGTTCTGTATTGGTATTTGGATTGTTAAATTCCAGATATGTGAGTTTTATTATATATATTTCATTGTATATATTTAATAAATATTTTCTGTGCTGTTTCTTACATTTTTATTCTGTAAATTATTATTATTATTATTTTTAATGTTTGGTGTCATTCATTAGAGGAGTTGCTTATACTGTGATATTTTCACAGACTTCTATTCCCACAATAGATTAGAATCAAGGTTTACTAAATGCTACCCAGTATAGATTAATTATTCACCATCAACTCTTGCTGTTTCATTTATCATCCAAGTTGCATACTTTGTAATCATTTATCAATACTTTACACTTTCTATGCAGCTTGATGTTATTTTTCACATATTGCACATTTGAGTGTTTTTTTTTTTTTTTAATACCATTTTTGTTAAATTTAACATAGTTGCTTCATAAAATCTGAATTACTTGATCTCAGTTGTTCCACTAATAATATTTTGTTGAAAAATTTTAAATTGTAAAGTTTGTATTCTGGAGAGGTAAGTATAATATGGGCAATAGTTTTGTATATTTTTGCAATAATTTATTGGATTTATAGCCAAGCATTTTCATCAAGTAATTTGTTGAATTTGAATGTAATGTCAGCATTTATTATGTAATATGGATGTAATGCATTAGATTTTTCTAATTATAAACATAGCCTAAAAAGAAATTCTTCCTGTTTTGAATGGGCAGCAAAATAATTTATTTCTTAAATATACACGTGCAATTTAAAGCAAAAGGCTATGTGTTGTCAAGCAGTAACTTTTAATAAATAAAAAATAAAATTTTGGCTTGGAAATGAAAAAATGAACTACTCGATTACTTCTTCCCCCTCCTGTTATTTTTAGTTTAGAATTGATGCATTTTGTATGCCATTCTTATCAGTAAAAAATATTAATATATATACAAATGTTACCTACAAATTAAAAATCTTTGCTTTCTGCATAGATTTCTCAATAATCTTCTAATGATAAAAACTTCTTTATGAGCTCAAAGCTGCCTTTCCATGTGTAAATTTAATTTTAAATTATATGCTTTAAAAACATTTGAAAAATTAAAAATTCTCATGGAACTACTGATTTTTCCTTATTCTGTTTCTAATGTGTGTGTGGAAAGAAAGTTCATATCTTTATTTTTCATGGATATGTGGGTTTGTTTAATTTGTGTAATAGTAACCATTATTGTGTATATAATGGTTAGGTTTGACATAGCATTTGGAGAAAAAGACAGAGTAAAATATGACAGACTAAAAATGGGCTACCAGTGTCATTTGTTAGAATATTTCCCATCTTAATAAATATGATGAGTATTAACAGCTAAAATTATTTGAGCAAAATCATTTTTCTTTTGAATATATCTGATGTAATCTTTTGAGCAACATATGATTTTAATATATATGTGATTAAAATATTGAACACGGAGCAAATAAAAATAGAAAGGTAGATTGAAATTCCTGCTTGTAAATATATCAATAACACATTCTAAAGTATCAAGCTACATATTCAGTATCTCGAAGAAATCAAACTGAGTGTGGCAGTTTTCACTTTGATGTGCTAATGTAGAATATGTATAATCTTAAGGACTATAAGTATGTTGTCATTGCTGAAATATTCTGAAAAACATGAGTGTTTTAACAGTGGAATGTAATAATTCAGTGTGCTATTTTATTCCAGTTTTTATGTAAATTCATCATTCACATATACAAACACAATGCATTAAAATTCTCTCAAAGTTTGTATATTTATTGCCCTGACATATCACTATGACTAAAATAAAACTTCAACTATATTTGTAACACGAAACTTTGCAAAATGGTAGTGGGGGGGAATGGAAAAAAAACAGAGTAATGTTAAAGTAGAATAATTTAACTTTTTTCTTAACCAGCTAAATTAGGCCAAGTTGGGAAAACTTTTATAAAGCTTAAGACTAAGATAATTGATAAAATTTAAGCATTAATTTCATATAAAATATTGTAACTTTTAAATGATAGGCTGTATGATCTTAAGAGGCAACTATGCTGTTTAACTCTTAAAATATGCACATTGAACCAATTTTATTTGTGCAAGGAGCACGCACATCCTACGCCTATTAAGAGTCAATTTTTTAATTTTTTTCTTTCTAAGAAATGTTTTATTAGTCATTTGAGTTGTTTCTGCATTTTGGAAATAAAATGAGAAAATATCTGTTTTTTATAATTCCTTCTAAACTCAATAATCCTTGTGTTAAAAGTTTAAAATCCAGAATATACAATTTTCTGTTTTTCTCAGTCCATGGTTGTCACTGTTATGTTTAAATCTGCTGTAAAGAATTATTTAACTTTTCCTGGATATTTTGTTGTGCGCTTCTCTTCGTATCATATGTTTTATTAATTTTCTTGAGATTTAGCATTTTTAAATAATATTTGATTTCAAAGGTATTATTTGCCTGTAATTATAGTTTGGCTTTTTTCCTGCTGTAATCTTTGATTACTAAGAAGTATATTTTTTAATGTTTTAGTAAGTAGTCTGTAAGAGTTGAACATGCTCAGTATTTTTGCTTTATGAAATTCGGGACCCAATGCCTTATAATAATAGGTACCTTGCAAACTAAAGTGCACTTCTGTTTAGTAAAATGTAATTAGTGTTATGAGTCTTATGTATGTATGTGTGAATGATGTGCGAGTTCAATACATATAAAGTAAGTTGTATTTTCTGAAATAAAATGTAATTCTTAAAGCTATTTTAGCATTATTTTGATAAGATAACATTTGGTAACTATTGTAATATTAGTGGATTTATTATTGATGTTTTCTTGAATTGTCTGTTATACTGACATCAAAGATGTGGTAGAGTACTTGCATATACATAGTATTTAATGGTTTTTGAGCATTGTATGTATGCATTTAAATAAAATTCTTCTGTACATAATTGTAAATTTGAATTATTTATAATAAATTAGTTTAGAACCTTATAGAAACTTGTGGATATATTTTACTTTTCAAAAAATGCTTCCCAACAGCCTGCTATGGACTTCCTAATAAGTTAAGTCTTGGGAATAATTCAGTAATTTTTGAGATGCAAAATTCTATTAAGACATTCAGCCCATCATACTTTTGGTGTGTTTCATATTTGTTTAGCTGAAAATATTCTTTTTGGGTTCCCATGTTTTTTTGGTTCTCTTTCATATGATTAATCTGCAACATCTAGATTTTGTGATTGGAACATTTATTAGTGAAGTAGTTGGTCACCCATATAGCTATGAGGAAAAACTGGATTTTTAACAATTATGTATGAATTACATGTCTGATATTCTGATTTGTAGGAAATATTTGAGATTTCTCAACATTTTGCATGTCTTGAGAAAAAATGTTCTCAATAAATTTATTGATCATGTGATTCATACTCAACTCAAATAGTGACCTTTTTAGCTCTCTCAAATCTTCAGTCATTGCTTTCATAGAATTCCTCTTTATTTTAATTCTCCAATTTCATTATCCATCCATTATTTTTCCAGAGTGCTGTAACTATCTATAAATTCATTCTGGAGAGCCAGGTGACGGGCTTTAAGAACCTTTTGCTCACAGTTTATAAAGTAATACACTATTATGAGTTTAAATTTGCTCCATAATATAACTTATGAACAGATCATGTAATATTTTTATTTGAAATGATTGTTAGTATTAATATTATCTTATTTATTAAAGAAAATATTGAAATAAATTTATAGAAACACTTTTTCTTGTGTATACACTATAAATATTCATTGAACTATGGTGTCAAAATTACAGATGAGTGGATTTATTATCCTAGAGTAGAATTATAACTATCTGGAACATAGCTTCTGAATCATTGTGTATAACACAATATATAAAAATATAATAAAATGTTCGCTGTTTATATTCTTTAACAGCTTTTAATGTTAAATATTATGAATTCAGTGTTATTACATTATTCGGATTTGATGAAAAAGTACTGTTACAAATTTGGTATTTAAAAAGCTAATGTTAGTTCAATTATAAATTAAATGGTTTTATTTCTCGTGCAGTGCGCGGGACGAATATTAAAAGAAAGCTAACAGAAAATTGAAAATACAGAGCGCTGCATTAAATAAATAAATATCTCTTATTGATTTCGAGAAAGTACTGGAAAATTCTAGCGCGTGATTTTAAATTTATAAAGGACGAAACATCTCAGTTTGTAGTAGTGCTTATTTTTTGTGTTTAGAAAAACTGCTCTTGTTATTGTAGCGAATTCCGGATTAGCTTTTTTAGCGTTTTGAATTACGTTCTATGACATTTGAGTAGTTAAATAACTACTGTAGATTTGTAATATTATGCTATTTGAGAAAATTATGCATTTTTTTTGTGATAATAATAAATTTTTTGTTCATTTTCAGCGGACTTTGGCATCATTTCCAACTAACCCGTACGCACGCGACAATTTTTGGTGTCAGAGTGGATTTGATGCCAATAACAGGCGATGGAGAACAATTCAGCAATGATGACTGCATTGCTGCTTTCCAAAAGATGGAAGGGGCCGCAACTCCGTTAAGGAGAAATGAAATTGGGCCAGAGCCGTTAGACAAATGAAGCCGTTCAAGCTGTCAGAAAAGATTGAAGCACATCAATAAAAATGAAAGAGAAATTACTGCATATAGAAAAAAATTGAACTATCGAAGGCTAATTACACAGTGAAAATAAAGTTGGACAAATGAAAAAAAGTTTCTTCCGTAAGATCAAATGAAGAAAGAGTTTCTTCTTGCAGAAGAATAGAACAAGTTTCTCTGTAAAAAAACATATAGAAGGGAGAGTTCTGCTGTGAGGACGAATTGAGAAGATTTTCTGCGTTCAACACCAAATCGAACAACAAATTGATGATAGTTTCTGCATAGCCAATGAAGTGGATATTTTTAAGAAATTCGTAGCGACGACAGGGAATAATAGTGATGGTTTTAAATTCTTACCGATGCCTGCTCGTCCATCTCTGAAGCTATCCACATATTATGGAAGACATCCTGGCAAGTGTAATAAAACACAGTTTTCTATAGTGGCAGAAGCAAATGGATGGGATCACGAAGCTAAGGCCTGTCATCTTGCCGCTTCTCTGAGAGCAAACGCGGTGGATATCCTTCAGACTCTTCCCAAAAACCAGAGACTTGACTTCGAAGCTCTATCGGGTGCATTGGAGCTGCGCTTTGGTGAGAAATGTTTAAAAGACTACAGCAGGTAGATAGTTTAGTAGACTACTACTAAAATCCCGAATCAACAAAAGCCCACAGAATCACTCCAGGAGCTCGACACAGATGCTGAAAGGCTGTCCCACCTCACCTTTACGGAGTGCCCGAGAGAACGGAAATTCTGTCGCTGCAATATTTCATCGATGCATCCGGGATCCCGAAATACAGAAGGCTCTACGAATGGCAGATGTAAAGGATGTAAAAAGCCATTGTTGTACGCCGTGAAATTGGAGGCAGCCCAGCAGGCCTCTTAGAGATCGCTACCCCCCAGGTCAGAGCTGTGCGAGTCCACGACCCAGGGACCATTGATGACTCGTTTGATATTTATCCAGACAAGTCGATGCTTTGATACGGAGTACAGTGAGAACAAGTGGCTGTAAGATGTTGGAGATGTGGTTCTGAAGGTCACCTATGACGGCATTGCCGAACACCCCAGGGCACGGATGAGTTGACAAGACCAGTGAATGCTTTAAGACGGAATAGTGGTGAAACGAAACCGACCCTAAAGTGCTGGAATTGCGGTGTTGAAGCCACTACGAAGGAACTGCAAACTCCCCGCACGGAAATAGGCATACGATTTAAACAGACAATTAATGCCACGGGAAGAAAAGGACTGACAAGAAACCAAAGTGCTGGAACTGTGGAGCTGAAGGCCACGTACGAAAGAATTGCAGAACACCCCAGGGTACGAAAATTGAGACAATTTCTGAGCAATGACGCAGGAAACAAATTAATGACCATATCAAGGAACGGAGGTTGCCACATAATGAAAAACCCTGTTAACGGACTGTCCATCAATGGGAATATCGATGGAGTTCCTTGCAATATGATCATTGACACAGGAGCTAATGTTACCATCATTAGGAAAGATTTAGCTGAACAGTTGAAAGATAAACTAATTTGGACGCCATCCTGTGTTGCCCTTCAGACTGCGTCTGGTGATAAGATCGACATAACTGGGAAGTTAAACGTAAGCATCACGTTTGGAAGTGCCCCTCGACCTCACACGGCATATGTGGCGGATATCCATATCCATGCATACTCGGATTGGACTTTTTAAGGAATACAATTTTTCCTTAGACTTGAAAAACAACAAACTGCTTTCAGGATCTGATGCATGACTATCCATCCCAAAAAGGATCCTCGCCTGGAAATGCCGACGCCTTGTCCGAAAGATCCAGCTCAGGAAGCTGCCGAAATCATACTAGGGTCGAAAAGAAACGCAAGACTATCAGCTCTTCGGTTGAGACCTTCGTCTGCCTTGTGACCGCCTGTTTGATCGCCGTACGGATGCGCCTTTATCGCCTGAGGAACACATCCAAGATGTCCAGGCCCGTCTTGAAGTGATGCCTCATTTCGCACGAAAGCGAGTGAACTCAGCGACGGAGAAAGTGAAGACCAGATACAACACGAGAGCTACTGGACATAGATCCAACAAAGGAGACAAGGTGAGGTTGTGGAACCCGATTCAACGAAAAGGACTCAGACCTAAACTACAGTCACCTTCGGATGGTCCATGTACAGTGCGGAACAGACTGAATGACGTCTCCGTAAGTCTTCGAACTCTAAACCTAAAGTCGGTCATTACGACAGGTTAGCTCATTACTATGGCCATAGTACGTAATGTAAATAGTATAAAACCATGGTCCTTTTTGTTTTTAAATGTGTATTTGATTTGATTTGTTATTTGATAGCATTTGATTTGTTTAAGTTAGTTATTGCATTTATTGTTCATGTTGTTTGATATTGTAATGTAATGTTTATGCCTCAGTTGCATTTATGCCACAGTTGTAAGTTTAGCTTCCTGTCCAGGGATTGTACTGCCCGGGACGTGCAGTCCTTGGGATGGGGGCAATGTTACGAATTTGGTATTTAAAAAGCTAATGTTAGTTCAATTATAAATTAAATGGTTTATTTCTCGCGCAGTGCAGCGTGTGACGAATATTAAAAGAAAGCTAAGCCGGAAATTGAAAATACAAGAGCGCGTGCATTAAATAAATAAATATCTCTTTTTGATTTCGAGAAGTACTGGAATTCTAGCGCGTGATTCTAGCGGTGATTTTAAAATCTTATAAAAGGACGAAAAACATCTCAGTTTGTAGTAGTTGCTTAGTTTTGTTTTTGTTTAGAAAACTGCTCTTGTTGATTGTAGCAAATTCGCGGATTAGCATTCTTTAGCTGTTTTGAATTACGTTTTATTAGACATTTGAGTAGTTAAAAGATAACTACTGTGAGATATTGTAATATTGCATGATAATTTGAGAAAATTTAAGCTTTTTTTTTTTTTTTTTTTTTTTTTTTTGTTGTGATAATAATAAATTTTTGTTAATTTTTCATCGGACTTATGCATTCATTTCATAACGAACCCGTACGTACGCGACAGTACTTCTGCTAGCATCAGGTATGGTATCATGTGGGTCTAAAAAATTAAGATTATGCTTGAAAAAAATAGTAGAGAAGAATTCTCTGTAGTAAATGGAAATTCTCTAAAACTCTGTGTATGAGGTAGGGCTGTTTAATGCATAAGGTAGTTTTTAATTTTACCTTGTATGTGACATAAAAATTTATCTTCTACAGTTTGACTTCAGAAAAGCAATTCTGTAGCTTGAATTAAAAATAACCTGATAATTTTCTACAAAGGGGAAGCTGATTTTATATTATTAGTAACCTGTAGATTAATCTCTTAAAAGAATATATGCATATGTGTAAAGAACTTAAATGTTAATTAAAATAATATATCTTAGTGTATGGTACTGTGGAATACCACCTTGCTGTCACACTTTATTGCAAATTGCAAACAATCTATACTATTAAAATCTGCACGTCTCTGTTTATTTGTAACATCTGCTCAGAAACAGCAGAGAGTTGAGTTTCAAATTTACCCATGGATTCCAAAAATTCGTGGGAAGCCATTTCGACCATTCTCATTTTTGTACAGCTTAAATCAGCTGAGATATTAATTAAAAAGTCTGAAAATCATAATTTTTATACTCATTTTTCTGAGTGGCAACTGTCTCGTACAATGATGAGAAGAAAAAGGTTTTTTTTTTTCGTAAAGTGGTGCCACTGTTTGCTTTCAAATCATAGAGTTTATTAATCAAATATTCATAAGTTTTAAAAAATATGAAATAAAAGAAGCATTGCCAAACATTAAACATATTAAAGTTATATTCTGATGCTGAAGAAAGCCCGCGAATGCATGTGATGTCATTCATTGTACGCCAAAAATTTTTTCATCAATATCTGCATTTTAAATGAAATCATGCCGTGTAACCATGGAGGTAATAATAAAAAGAGGCGCCAACCTCACACTGTGCCTGACACAGTGCTTCAAGCTTGTTGACATCCAGAGCATTTTTGACAGCATCATACGTAATGAATACCAAATAATGTGTGGTGAAGATTTTGATTTCACATTGAATGTATCCAAAATTGTATTTTAAGTCAAAAGTTTGAAACTTGATGTCTAAATGTAAACATACATTTATGTGCGTAAAAATACTTGTAATTAGGCATATAATTAGGGCTAAAATTTTAAAATAGGGTGATGCATGCAAGGGCTGTCTCCTTAAGGGAAGAGATGCTTTCGTGGAGGAATTTTGAAAGGAAACTGACCTTTGAGTACATGTTAAAAATAATGCATGCAATTTTTATTCAATCTATATACAGTGGGTATTTATGTGTATCTTTGTAAAAAGCATATTATAAAAAAATATAAAAGCAATCACTGCTGAAATGTAAATGTAAAATCTTTGTAAAAAGCATGCCTTTAACAAACTGCATAAATATTTATTAAATTATTTGTAAATGTATTTTGAAATGAAGGATTTATTTATTAATGAACTCGTCAAGAAATCTAGTTATTAAATATATCTAAATTTATAATTATAAATATTTAAATACATAACCTTAACATTTAATTGCAAAAACATAAACTGAAATTCTGTTAACAAATACTGTATTTATGAAACTATTTAAGCAAGAATTATTCATACTGAAAAGCAATATAGTAAAAGGTGTAAAGCACGGTCTTTGAGATGTGTACTTAAGGAAGTTGTAACAAAGAATTTTTAAAAGTGTATTTTTGAAATTAAGGGTAAAAATTTTTTATAAGTATTAAAAGAATTATTTCCATACATTTTATAATAACTCAGTTACTAGTTTGAAATAATATTAAAAAAAAAAAACTTTTTCTAATTCCTTTCGGAAATATTCATATAAAGTGATTACGGTAGCCGACTGCGATACCAAAGGGCCTGAGTTCAAATCTCAGAGAAGACATGGTTGTATTTGTCTGTCCACTTATAGGAGGCAAAGTTGGCTCATCTATTAGGTGCCTCCATCATAAAGTGAGCACTGCTTCTGCCTTTAGTAGTGGCCAACGTCTGTGGTCAGTTAGTTCCCGCCATTGTAAAAACAAAAAGTTAAGTACATGGAAATCAGCAGTAATATTTCATTATTAAAATAAAAGGTCTTCTAATTTGAAATGAACCAAACATATTAATTATAAAGTGACTCTGATTTTTGATTTAAAAGATGCTTCAGAAGCTAAAAAATATCATATTTGAGAAAGTATTTCAAAAACTGTAAATAAAAAAGAAATAATGCATAATATTAATAATACAATAATCCCAATTCCTGTAATCGTTAACCGAATAAAATCGAATTACCTTGAAATTTTTTCTAATGTAATTAACGAAAATATTTCAAATTTAAACTGTTCTGGGAATTGCATTTAATTTTTTCAGAATGAAATGTTTAAAACTGCGTTCTGCTCGCATATTTTGGAATGAAATATTGTAGAAAAGGAAGTGTATACGTTTATACGTATATTTAACGATGTAATTACAAAATGTTTACCTCGGATCATGTCAGAACCTATTGATCTTAAATGGCGAGTCATTGAATGTTTTGGTCTCCAAGGGAAGTGTGCCACTGCATAAGAAAAACGAATTCTGGCCTCTCCTCTTAATTTCCTACCTCCGAGCGTCATTCGTGTTAACCTGAAGTGTCGAAAGTTTCTGTTTTATGTTTTGGCAACAAAAGAATTATTAAGGATTGGTTGCTGCTCTGAAAGAATGAACCGATTTCAGTTATATTGAAATGATTTTATGCATTTTCTTCTCAGGTGTACATAGAACTTGTAACTTTCGCTTTGGCCGTGGTCCGCTCATCTGAAGGGCTTGCCCACTAGTATAGTAATAAAATTTGAATATTGTCTATCTCTTCAATTTATTTTATTTCACTCATACACTGTTCACTGAATCAGAGAATCGTAGAGTAGATGTTAAAAAGTAAAAGACTATCAAAGATATTTCTAGTTATACTTTAATTATATTACAATAGTTATCTGTTTAAAATATATTTCCTCAAATCGATCAAAATAAAAAGTGAAATTTTCTGGAAAATCTTGTTTGCCTTGGGGATTATGTGTCGTTTCTTTGCGAGCGGTGCCTGCGTCATGAGACCCCCCTATGCCCTCGCTATTAGCTGGGCTACGCCGGATGTACTGGACATGACTACAGTCGCTATTCGATGGCAGATGCTGTCGTATTTTTCTCAAAGAAGTTAGCAAAATTATTTCAAGATATTCCGACTGCCATTCGTAACTGACTGCGGTGTCAACTAAATGCAGAACCAACTCATTTCAGCAATGATATAAACAATTCCCTGGAGCCCATTTTGGGGGTGCAGTATAATGATGGAAGAGCAGAACATTTTGCTTAGAATCTCCGAAGCTCAAACTACTTCAAGGCCTCAAGATTATAAGTGCCAGTCTGTTCAATATTTTGCAAAATTCAGCTCGTAGCAGCGCTAATGTGTTCACGTAAACGTAGCAATTGTAGTTCGATCGCCTCATCCGCGACCATCAGCGTAAAAACGTATTCGCCATTCGAAGCAAATTATTCTCAAAATAGGGTGAACGGATAGGGACTTTCTTTCCCTCCAGCATATCTCTTTCCGGAGAACAGAAGACTTTCACGTCGCAAAAGTGCTAATGGCCCTTTTGGACGAGTCTATGTGTTTTGGCAGAATGTCAGCCAGGTTTGCGTTTGAGACTGTCGAACTATACTATATAAATTTAGTATCGTTATAGCTATGTATGCAGCTTATATCTTTAGGCAGACAAGGGGACTTCTTTATTATAGTATATTTCTAAAGTATTTCTCCTGCCTTCGTGGTGAGCAAACTCGACGCGTATTCGAGAGGTCCGCGTCCCGGCAAAGGTATTCTCATTTTTCATCTCTTGCTTCGAAACAACTTAATGTCTCTACACTGGCGCCCAAACTAGAATGGTGGTGGATGATAATTCTCCACACCCAGGATTTAGCGATTGGGTCCTCTAAAAACCCCAGTCGCCCTTTAAAAGGGGGCGTATATAAGGTATTTCTCCCGCCTTCTTAGCATGCCTTCGTGGTGTAAGCACGCTCGAGGCGTATTCGAAAGGTCCGTGGTTCCAGTCCCTGCGAAGGCATTGCTCGCTTTTCATCTCTCTTGTTGCGAAATAACTTAATGTCTCTACGTATTTAAGATCATGAATTATGTTTTGAATTGTTGTGTTCTTTAATCATAGGAAGAGTCACTTTTCTTTACAATTACTTATAAATTGAGGCTATTTTATGTTATTTATTGTAATAATGTTAACATTATTATTCTTTTCATATTATTATTTGGAATAATATTGTTAAATTTTAGGTTTAAGAGAGCACTTTATTTTAATATAGTGTGAACTTCACTGTAACCAAATATGGAAAAATTTAAAAATTGCAGATTGGCAACAGCATAAATCTGCATGTGTTTTAGTATGTTTGTTTACATTTCCATGGTAGAGAACGGAAATGTAAAGCGAATATATATGTAATCATGGCATCTATTAATTATAATGGAAGCAATTTTTTTCGTCAGCGTCTTATTCTTTCAACTTTATGTGGTCGACCCATAGTTATTAGAAATATACGCGATACGAGTGACGAACCTGGTATTAACGGTAATTATCTTCTGTTTTGAAAGTAAACTTATACAAACTAGTGTTAACATTATACATGAATGTAAATATTCATGTCTAAGTGTGTTTTTTTCTGAAGCTTAAATTTGTTGTTATTTCAGAGTTTTTAATAAATTTTCATATTCCTGAGACCAAAATTAAAAAAACGAAGGGTTCAATTTTTATCTTATGAAAATATGTATGAATATAATTCGGTTTTTTTATACAATAATTTCAAATGCTCTTTGCGGAACCGAATTTTTCAAAACTAATTTTGATCAGCTTGAAATAGTTTTCTTTTAAAAGCAGGTAAAATTAAACATTTAAAAAGATTTCATATGAAAAAAGTTGTCATTATTTTTTGATATACATTCTGATGCTTTATTCTATATCTAAATATTTGGCCAGACTGGAAATTACGTGCCAGTTGCCAAGCAAAGCGAAATATGGCAACATCTCATTTTATTGAAATTATTCCGAGCTGCAAAAACTGTTAGGGTAAAAATATATTTCAGGGTGCCCCTTGACGAAAATTTTCAATTTTTTGGCACCATTCCTGTTTACAGTCCCCTCCCTAGTAAAATGGCGTCCAAAACATCATACAATAAAACATAATTAAAACAAAAGGTAAAAGGTTACAATTGGGTGCCCCTTGTTTTTTCGGCGATTCTTTTTTGATGACAAGATCAGCGGCAGCAAGGCACAATGTCAAGTATACATCAACCTCTTTTCACTAAAAAAAACATCGGAGAATTGCATAAACTCGGCATTGCGCATTGACTTGACTTAGTCCATATACACATCGATCTATTTTCACTCAAAAATCAAAAGAGCACTCAATTCTACACTAGAGCCAAACAGAAACTATATAATCTCAGTTAACTGCATTTTAAATCGAACAGTGAAATAACATAAAAAAGGAAATACATCTCATTGCATCTACGCACTACACAAAGGAAATATCCACTTACCTTATTTAAAAATTTCTGCATCTTCAGTCTCTGGCACACAAAATTACATAAAAGCATCTAAAAACTTTTCTCAAACCATGTTCCCTTTCTAATGGAACACATTATGTGGCAAGCATTTGAACCTTTGTGACAAAGCCATCTGGAAGATCTTTATGTTTGACCATATGCGTTTCCTTAGTACAGACAAAACACTTATAATGGCTATTAAGTAAACCTTTCATTTACACATACCAGTCAATTAATGCTTTTTCCCTTTCATTCCAAATCGTACAGAAACTTCAAATTATTCTTATTACATACTGGCATTTTATCGTGTAAAGTACAAAATAAGCAACATGTTTCCTAACCAACATCCAGCACTTTATTAAGCCCTTATAAATATTTTCCCATCAGTTAAATTCACTGCAATCACATCATAATATTGTTTCCATAACATTCAACTACTCAGGTTACGTAGAATTTTACTCTGCAGAACAACTTCAATAAAAAAAGTTATTACGTATAACAAAATTACAATGAAATAAGCAATATCCCTTAATACCAATATTAATTATCTTAATAAATAAATTAACCAACTTCCCTTTGCAATATCTTGAGAACTCAAATGGTATAAAGGAGGTTAAGAACTTTGTTTCCTAAAAAAATCACTCGAACTTTTCAATATCTTAAAAACAGTGAAATGAGCAATAAATAACATAAAAGAATACAAAAAACAAAAAATTCTGAAAAGCAAAATATAATTAATGATATTTTATGTTATATTTCCAAGAGAAAAAAAATTAGGTACTGCTTTGGTAGACGGTTGCACGGATTCTTGGCGATTTACATTGGCGCATTTGTTGGCACGTTTTTTATAGTCATCAGCCATCTTGAAAGATGCTGTTTTTATGTATTTTATGCATATAGTAAAGTATTAGAAACTGTAAAAAAATAAATATCGTTAAAAATAATGAATTAATTTTTTGTTGAAAACGTTGTTTTTTAAGATGGCTGGCAAATGTAAATAAGTACATTTACTAAGAGTATAAAATGCTAAAGTAAGGTTAAATTATTACTTACATATAATAGAATAAAAACACCGCTATAAAAACATTGCGCCAACATTTAATTGGATTAAAATATTGCTTAAATTGAATATCGAATTAAAAACATCATATCAACGTTTAAAAGAATTAAAATATTACTTAAATACTTTAAAATAAGTTTTATAGGATTTAATTATTTAACATTAAAACATTGTGACAATGAATATCTCAGGAATTTTTGAAAACATTGTATTAATTTTTTAATAAAAGTTGAAGTATACAATTATAAAGTAAAAGAAAATTATGTACTTATATTTTTTTTTTAAGTATTTTACCTGTCGTATATTGATAAGTACCAGAAACAAAAACTATCTTCATCTGTGATCCACATCTCTCGCCCTTCATTGGAGAAGCAATTAGCGAGGTTTTCTCCAAAATTTTAAAATAAATTTCCTCCGACGCTATTGACAATTTATAAATAAATCTTTGATTAGGAAAGACAGGTTGGCCAAAATAAGGTCTCAAAGGGCATTTTTTTTTATTCCGATACCAATAATTCTTGGTAATTACCAATAACAACATTCCTCTTCGAAATGGACATATCCATTCCATTTGAAATCTGAGGAATTCGAAGAGATGAATATTAAAATTTTAAAATGGCGTGGTAATGCACAAATATTCAGTAACCAATAAGGGAGCTGATTACATTACGCATAGAATTAAAATTATTTAAATAATCATTCATAATAAAATCATTTTAAAAACAAATACAAAATTAAATTGTATTTTAATATTTAACAGCCTTAAATAATGTTTAAAACATTAGATTAAATTTATAGCTATTAATAAAACCAATTATGTTTTAAGTAAGGTGACGTCATTGATTACATCATCCACAACATAAAATTATATAAAATATTATAAACAACAAAATTTTTATTTCAAATAAATTGCAAAATTAAATTGATTTCTAATATTCAGAAGCGATAAATAATATTTAAAACACGGAATTTATGCATAATAAAACGCATTATTTTTTAAATAAAATGACAACAAAGCATTGGTTATCATAAATAACTTATCCAGCAATGGGTTTAACCTAACTCGTATTACTCGCCAAAAGAAAAATTGCCAAATTCCGTGCAACCGTCTACCAAAGTAGCACCAAAAATTACAATGAAATAAGCTATATCCCTTAATACAAATATTAATTATCCTAATAAAAAAATTAACCAACTTTCCGCTGAAGGAAAAAAATCTTGCAAAACTTTTCAATATCTTACAAACAGTGAAATAAGCAAAAAATAACATGAAAGAAACTCAGAAAACAAAAAATTCCGTGCAGAATTTTACTCTGCAGAACAACTTTATAAAAAACATCAATAAAAATGTATTATATATATAAAAAAAGGGCAATGAAATATGCCAATCTCTTAAAAACAGTGACATAAGAAATACGATGAAAAATAGTTGCTAAACCCATATTTCTAAAAGAATGAAACCATTCAAAATGATGCAATTTCATCAAAAATCTATCAACAACAATTAGACAGGAAAATTGTTGCCAAAATCATGTTTGTAAAGATGTGAGAAGTGTACTCGGCAGCTTCATTTAAAAAATTTTTTAAAAATGCAAAATATCATCATTTTTCCAAAATTCTTTTTGTATATGCAGTCGCAAGGATGAAAGTTTAACGTGTCCAAAAGTCGAAGAAAAATAAACTCTACATTTTTAAACATAAACGTTTTTAGAAAAAATCCGGTTGAAAAGGTGTTAAGCTCACTTTGTTAAATAAATTCGTATTTAATCGATTTATTGAAACACGAAATTTATTTTAAGTTCGTAAAATAGCTAAGTGACAATAGCATTTCATGACGATGTGAAAATGGAGTGTAAAATCTCGCTTTCCTATAGCCCATTATGTCTCAAAATGACACGATTTCGTCACAAAACATAAAATAAAAAAAATTCTAATTCGAATTTCGAAAAAATCGTTTCGAGGTGCACTCGCTCTTGTGTAGATGGACCTATGTACCAAATTTCGTAGCCATAGGTCTATTATCTTATGCGCAGCGCGAACGAAAGACACACACACAGACAGACTCTTTGTTTTATTATATGTAGAGATTTCACTTTTCTTCTTGTGGATAATTGTGAGAGGAAAATGGTTGGCATTGAAAAAGTTGATTGTATGGATTTTACTTACTTGATTCAATTGCAAGATAAGGTCAAAGGTGTGTGATAGAATGGCACATGAATTATGGGTTGATCTTTGGATTATGGTAACTTTTCGATTTTTTGGCAAAAATTTGGCGACCAACTCTGCTACAGCAACCCTCTATTTTTTTTCACCGCCATTTTGTCTTCACAAAGTAAAGACATGTTTCTTTTTATTTACTGAAAATTTTTTCCAACAATCTACTAGCCGAATTGCACTTATGGTAGCAATTTTAGGTAACAAAACTGCTTAATAATGACAAATATTAACTGCAAAATTGGGAAAAAGTGCACAATCACAAACTCCTTGCGCGTTTTTCAGAATACCACATACACATAAACCATTTACACGTTGACTTATTTTTACTTAAAAAAACAACCCAGAATTGCACAAAAATGGCATTGCACACACTCTTAACTTTATCCATCTACACTGCTATTTTCTCATAAATTACAAAAATTTGCACGAAAATGCAAAAAAATTCTGTGAATCTTTAAACTCTGTAAAAAGCACATATATGAAATTACCTGATTGCGAGAAAGTATATACCCTTTCCAAAGATGAACATTTCCACATATAAAATAAATAAAATATCCAAAAACTTTTACCTCTAAATTATCTATTATATTATAAACGTCACCAACGAATTCATACTGCAAACATTGCAAATGGTTACAAATACTTAGTGTCAAATATTTAAATTATTTCCATGCACGTTTACTTCAACTGAAACGTATACCAAATTCCTACAAACATAAAATTCACAAAATAACTATCATTTAATTAAAATATCACTAAACCATGTACACCTTCGCCTAATTTTACTTTAAAAAAACATCCCAGAATTGCAAAAAATGGCATTGCACACACTCTTAACTTTATCCATCTACACTGCTATTTTCTCATAAATTACAAAAATTTGCACGAAAATGCAAAAAAATTCTGTGAATCTTTAAACTCTGTAAAAAGCACATATATGAAATTACCTGATCGCGAAAAAGTATATACCCTTTCCAAGGATGAACATTTCCACATATAAAATAAATAAAACATCCAAAAACTTTTACCTCTAAATTATCTATTATATTATAAATGTCACCAACGAATTCATAGCACAAACATTACAAATGGTTACAAATACTTAGTGGCATTGCGCACACTCTTCACTATATTCATGTACACTGCTTTTTTCTCATAAATTAGAAAAATTTCACGAAAATGCATGAAAATACTCAACGTATTCTACTCAAACATATTCCAAAATACTACAAACATATAACTCACAAAATCACGATCATTAAATTAAAATATAATTAAATTAAAAAACACTACTTAAAATATAAATAAGCACATACATTAAATTAATAAAAATTAGATTACAATCCTAATTACTTTAAACTAAATCATTGCTAATAACAATTTTCCAATAATATCATATTAATTTATTTACTCTTTACATTTAGAACAATGCATAAAAATAATATCCTCAAATGATTAAAAATACTAACTTACCTAATCTTCAGAATCTTCATTACGTGGCACGCACACTTCCACTATTTCACACAACATACAATGAAGCTTAATACAAAATAATATAGTATTACAGTCTTCTAAATTCCCCCCCCCTTTTTTCCGATTAAAGGACTGTAATTCGTCCATTAATGTCACATGACATATCTCATGATCTCTCATTTCCCTCACACAAAATAATGCGCAATCGGAACTGAGTACTTCTCACATTATTACCAAAGTCCTAGGTAGTAACCTTTATCGCCTCCAAAATGTTGCCAAACTACCAGTTACCATATTCCAAAGATCAGCCGAATTATGTTTTGATTTTGAATGTGTACGGATGTCCTAAGTGCAAAGGAGTATGAGAAAAGGCTCTTGGTTTTCCAAGAGACAAATATCTCCGAGTCTGATCCTTTAACTAACGTGTTTGTGGGGTCAGAAATGTACGAATCAGTTTATTATAATGAATTACCTGTGACTGACCACACTGGTAGATTGGAAGATGTTTTGTAGAGAAGTATGTGCTCTCTTATTGAAGAGTAATGCATTGTAACTTGCTTTCATTGATGTAGAGAGATTGTGTTAATTTTTTTCCCTCAAAATATATTGATCCATTTTGCTTGAAATCTAATTCAAGTTAAGATAGGATTTTACCTGCTTTTAAAAATTTAATTTTGCATGTATCTGTACATTAGTATTTCACATATTATGATACTTGCTTACTTCTTTCCTAATTTATTCTAGTTATTTATTTCAGTTTTTCTGGTCATGTTATTTATTTTTTATTTCATAATGCTTTGGCTGTTTATCATTTGGCTGATCTGGGATAATCAGAATATGAATACAAATAAATAACTATATAAGCGCTAGGGAGTGGGAATTATTCAGATTTGTATTTATTAAATGAAAGCATTTATTGAAAATGGGAAAAGGCTTGATTATTAGAATATTTAGATACAGAATATAATCCCCAACTTTCTAAGGCCGTCATTGCCTTTCCAGAATAGCAATATCTCACAAATTTCTTTCCCATTATGTCTTTTTCTGGCCAGGTTTTTTTTTTTTTATGTTGTTGCCAGATAAAAGATTACATGGAAACAGCCCACTGGAGGGACACTACGGGTGATATATATACAGTCAAAAGTTGTTAATCCGGAATGATCTATAATTCGGACCTCAAAGCTACAAACGTTCTGCGCATGCGTCAACGCATAATGTGTTCACGCATGCGCATAGGCGTTTATGCATGCACATAATACTTTTATGTATGCATATATGCATGTGCTCATGCACATAATACGTTTACTCATGCACGTTTAATGTATAACGGACGGTATAAGCTAAAATTATCTAATTATCTATTTCATTTAATGTTGCAGATTGCGTTGTTCCTTAATCTTCGAATTGGATCCGGTTTATTATTTTTTGCAGACTGTTAGAGCAATTTTATAAAAGTAAGCTTGAACTTTTGATTATATAAAATAGAATTTCTGATGCTGGAGCTGCCAAAGGATCTACAAAGCAAAAGTATGTTTCGATGTCCATCAAGCAAAAAGTGGAATTGCTGCAAAAAATAGATAAAGGCATATCCTTTGTTTCTCTAACCATTCTGAAATCTGTTTATCAATTTCACGCTGCTCTTCAGAGAGGGGGGGGACATTGGGGCACGCAGTAAATTGGAAGTTGATCTGTCAGCACTATCCTTATCTTCAGGGCAGATGATTTTATTTTATTTGGCTTATAATTCCTTACTAAATGTAGTATTTCATCTCGATGTACTCCATCTTTGATATGATTTAAATCAAATTCCTTGTCATTATAATTCGTTTGTGATATTGAAAAAAGTTACATAGATGTTATTGAAAACGAAAAAATTTCGATTGACAAGTTAGTCGGTATTCTCGGCATAGCAATTACAGGACGTGAACAGCGGAACTTTGTAAATGAACAAGAAATTATGTCTATTTATAGAATTAAAGAGAAAGTATTAGCACATAAAACGAAGCAACTTAAACAACTTACATTGAAAGAGATGCTTAATAAAGTAAACAAATAAATATTAATATTTTTTTTTTTTTTTAATTTTTGATACTCTTTAAATCACAATTGCTCTTTACTTCATAAATTACGATTTCATATTTTTAATTTTATAATTTCTGCATGCCATCTTACCAGATTTAAACTGATGATCTATAATCCGGAAAAATCGATAATCCGGAATCGCCGAAGTCCCGATGAGTCCAGATTAAAGACTTGACTGTATAGGTTTTTCCCAATTTGTAAGAAATATTACAAATTAGGGGACTATTAAAATGCTGTATTGTGTCACAGCATTTATGATCCAGTTAATAAAATTCAAGCAGAAATCGGTACTTAAACATTTTTGCAACTACCTTTGTGGAAATTGTCAAAACTTCAGAATTCATTTAATTCTGGCAACTATGTTCATGTTACATTTCTTCTGTTTTAATAGCCAGGGTTGCCATTTTGGCATGCACTCTTTTTGTTGTATTTCAACAATGCCATTCCAAGGCCATTGGCTGTCGGTGTACTTTCCTAAGTTTGCCGTCCCCCCTCCAAAAATGCTCAGTGATGAATAAAATTTTTGTTTCTTACTCATTAAGTACTTACATATGACAAATTGTATAAAAAGTACTTACATATGACAAGTAAGCATTTATTGAATTTAAAATATTTAGGCGAGGTATCGTGAGAGTCCGACTGCCCCTGATTTTCGCCATCCGCGCACCCTCTATTAGGAACGACCCTGCATTTTAAATTTAAATTTTTTTTTTGTACAAATTGGGATATTTTTTTTTTTTTATCTTAAACTCAATTTAAAATGCATGCATGTGGATGGGCTTGGGCTGAGAAAAACTGCTGTGAAATTTCTGCAGTAATATAATAGTACTCTAGAAAAATGCTGAATGAAGTAATTGCTAATATCATAAAGTGATCATCTTGAAATTTCCACCAAAACAAACAAAAGAACAATTTCGATTGTACATAAGTTTATTGGCTGATTTTGAGGATAAATATCCAATTAAAATGTAAAATATGTCTGTAATAATGAATTTGTTTGCAATAAGTATTTTCTTACAATTATAAATCATCATTGTTTTCCCTCTCTAAAATTTGGCAAACCACACCAAGATGATTGTGTTTATATTTAAATAGGCAGAATTTTGCATCATTATCCTTAATCAAAGATCAGTTAAGGCAATTTAATTTTATTCTGGTAGGTGTATTGCCATATGTTAAAAAGTATAGTCTGAGATTATTATTTTTTAAATTCAGTTGATATAAATGTGAAGATTTCAATTAATTTTAGATTTTTTTTTTGATTAAATCATAATTTTGATCTAAAAAAATAAATTTGTTTCTCAATTTTCTAGACTATGAAGATAGTTTTTTGAAGCTACTAGATCTTATAACAGATGGATCAGTTATTGTGGTTAATGAAACTGGTATGTCTTATATATTTCTAGGTTTTTTAGATGTGATATATTTGATATAAAGGTATGCTGTATCAGTTAAAAGTTAATATAATTTATATATATATATATACAATGCAAAGTCCTAAATCTGCATGTCCAGGATCCAGAATCATCTAACAACTGGACCCCTGGAATACCAGCTTTTTTTTTTTAAGATTTTTTTTCTGTAACATAATTTAGAAATGGATAATATAATATCCAAGGGAAAAAAAGTGTTCTGTAAAGTAATTTTTCTCCTGACTAAAAGTGATCATGATTCCTGCATATCACATTCAAACACTTGGCTAAGGAATCACTTCATGCTAGAGGCAGGTACAGGTGTTGAGTGGGTGGGACAACAGAATTTCGCTATAGGTAGTACAGATTATAATCCCAGTGAACTAACTGTGCATCTCAAAGATCCCCCTTGGGATGGTCTAATTGTCTCTTACCTCTCTTCTTCTATCACCAGCCGCTTGAGAGAACTTTCTAACTAACTTGTATTTTGAATGCTACATGGACACTATACACTTACAGACGTCCATTCCCTCATCGGGATTCGAACCCGGACCCATTTAGTGTACCTGTGCCGGAGACAGTACATTGATTGGCATATTGTTGTTGGCCCTGACCATACTTCCAGTTCATAAGTGGTCATGGGAGAGTTAATACTTTCTAACTGATGTTTGGAATAAGTAAAGCTCAAAGATGTTTTTGTTTGGAATAGGATATAGCTCAGACTGAGTTTCTTTAGTTGACGTGGCAGCAATGAAGGAGTAGGGATTCTGAGGATCTTGATATCAATTAACATAGCAAGTCATGGTCTTTTTTGTCTTTCTAATTTGATCTAGCTGATCATCTTTTGCAGGCTGTTATTATTTCAGCTATCTTATCAAAATTAGATTTTGAACTCTTGATAATATTAAAAATAATGTTGAAATCTGGAGCTGTAGGCAGCAAGATCTGCAGAGTGAAAACATGTTTTGATGTCAATCAAGTGAAAATTAAAATTTCTGGAAAAAATGGATAAAGGCATGTCTCTCTCAGAATGATGCAAGGAATATAGTATTATAGTATGAGAAACATCAGTGCTATATGTCATTAAAAAAATTTTTTTTAAAGTTTTTTATGGATTTATGGACATACCACTCACAATGAATAATGGAAAAATTATTTTTTATGCTGAAGAGGGCATGTCATTAATAGATCCAATAGTAATGGCTCAAGTCAAAATATTTCATGGGGATAGATTTAAAAACTGGGGGCACATATTTAAAAGTAAGCAACCAGTTGTCTTAATGTAGGGGCAGTTAAAAATTTCAGACAATAAAGCTTCAGTTGAAACTGAAGCAATTGAAAATTTGCAGATGAATTCAGCAGACTTATTAATAACAAAAAGTTATCTCCAGAGGAAATTTATATTATTGATAAAACTAATCTTTTATGGCAGTATGTGCATCAAAATAACTTGGAGACCCCTGCAGAAAAGTCTCTGAACTAGTTCAAGCATTCAAATGTGAGACTAATAATTCTGGAATGTGCAAATGCTATAGGAATATACTAATGTAAACTTTTCATAATTGGAAAAAATACAAGGCCTTGGCCTTTTAAAAGAGTGGTGATTTTCTCTATCATCTTTCGTTCAAATAAAAGAGCATGCATGATGCAAATATTAATGAGTATTTGCTTTGAAAATCATTTCATACCTGAGGGTGAGCAATAAGTTGGTTAATCTGATGTATCCACTTATAGTGAAAGATAACATTTTTCCTCCAAAATATACTCACAGGATAATAATTCACAGGATAGCAGTGCTTGCTGAAGTGTTTATGTGAAGTAGCCTTTTGATTGTCTTAGGTTGGTAAGTATGAGCATTGCTAGGTCATGGGATGATGTGTTTGCAGGTATTTTAAAAAATGCTTGGTATAGTTGATGGCCAGCTTGATATATTGTGGTGACAATAAAGATGATGATGATAGCTCTGAATTTGGAGATTTTTGTATACCACAAACAAAAAGTAAAATTTTGCAATTAATGGAATTTATGAAGAAGTAGTAATAAGTGAAGCTGATGTAACAGAAGTTTTCCATTGCAATGACAATGCCCCAGTCGTCAGCAAACTAACGGAAAGCAAAATCTGTGCTATGGAAAAATCAAAAAAATATTACTACTGGTGGTGAAGAAACTGACAAAGATGTTTTTAAGAATGAAAAGATTTTCCTTGATGGTTTAGTTGGAATTCTTGACATAGCAGTTATAGGATTTAACAGTGAACTTACAACGTATTTTAAAGTATTTATGAACAAATTTATATGTAAAGTGCATAGTTGTTAAACTAGCCTGTCTAAGTATGTATATATATAAATATTTGATGGCTTTAAATGTCTGTTTTAACTTCATAAGTAAACAAAATTTCTTAGCATATATTTTGTGTTAAAGAAAGTAAAAAATTTTAGACCTGTAACACGAGAAATTAAAAATTTACTAATAAAAAATATTTGCAGTTATGTTTAATTATTTTCAGTTATACTTGCAAATAGCAAAGACTTTAATAGTAAATTTTTATTGGTAAGAAATAGAATTTTTTAAATGTAAATTTTAGTTTTCCATTACAAATATTATAATTATTAATATTTTATATACAGGTACAACAGTGAAATACACCCCTGGGATTTTGTTAGGTGGAAAACTGCAACACAACTGTTGCATTCAAAGATCAATTAGCTATTATTTAGAGCCATTACTATGTCTTGCTCCATTTTGTAAAAAGCCACTCCACATCACCTTGAAAGGTGTAACCAATGACAACATGGATCCAACAGTAAGTTACTGCTGAAATTTTAATTCATATTTTGGTTTATAAGATTTTAATTTGTCTCCCCTTTCCTTCCTTCTTTTTAATGTAGATGCTGTATGCTTTATATGCTAGTTATTAAACTTCAGTGTAGCAACAAGAATAATAACAATATATAAGAACAAGGATAATGATTTATACAAAAATTAGGAGCCCACCAGCGGCCGAGTGGTAAAGACACTGAACACTGGTAGTTCAGTCAAGGTTCGAATCATGCGAACAGGCTGGCTGCATGGGCGTTTTCTTGGTTTTCCCTATGTGTAACAGATATATATGCTAGTTTCCCTTAAAAAGTCCTCTATGAAGGCATCCCTCCCTTTAGGCAGATAGTCCTCGTGTGTTTCACCATAATTGAATAATCCAAATCCAATTAAACAAAAATTAGTTCATTTTGTATCTTGCTTATTATCATAAGTAGATTATGTAGTCTATGCTACCTGTTTTCCAGCAGTAGCACAGTAGCCAGAATCAGATAACAGTTTAAATATTTTAATTTTTGCCCAGATACGTGAATGTTTAAGTACATAATGTAGTCTGTTTAGAACAGGAATTCTTAATTAAAAAAATTTTCTCATTCAAAAAATAAAAACAATAAAGTCTTGTAGGATATTTTTGGTTCTGTTCTGTTATCAGGATTGAATCATCACCAGATGTTCTGCTAAAGTCGCCAAGAGATTGATTTATATGAAGATGCCAATGTTTACTTTTAAAATTGTTATGTTGTTTACATTTAAAAAAAGTTAAAGAATGCATTTCAAAATTGGCAACGAGAAAATAAATTCTTAAAGATGTAACTCACTGTTGTTTTTATTCTTGTATTTACCATGGATTTGAAAATTTGGGACTTACCTAATGATGAAACATCTTCCATACAATTTCTTCAGAAACGAGGAGTCGTTTACTCTGGAAAAAAGTGCATGAAAAACCATAAAATGAAGTTCTACTTCAATTCGAAAGAAGACTGGAATAGAGATGTGAAGATCTGTATTTGAACATTTCTGTGTTAACCAGAAGTATAAATTAATCCCAATAGTAGTTATCATGCTCAAATTTTTAAAAAGTTATGGGACAGTGCAATCAATGCAGCACTGAACGTAACTAATTAGATTCTTGGGTTAATGTGGTGGCAGCAGCATCCTAAAATTCAAATCTTGACATTTTAAATTATATATGCAGTTTCATGCCTCTAAATTAATCTTAATTCACTAAATTCTCTAACCAATTTTTTTTTTCTTTCTAATTTCATTGGTAAGTTGCTCAATTTACATTAAAGATTTTTAATTGTATGAACGTCTGTTATTTTACTCCTTGGATTTTTTCTGCAGCTAAAGCATATTGTGAATGTTTTGGCAATTATTTTTATGCTTTGAACTTTTCGCCAGATTGTCAGGTTTTGGCAATATCTGAATCCAGCCCCGATAACAGAACAGTACCACATTTTTTATGCTAATGCCATAATTTTAGGATCTAGAATCTGCAGTTTTATTTTTGAATGTAGGCAGCACTGTAGTATGTTTACATTTGTCACTTGTTACATCTCGCTTTTTTTTTTTTTTTTTTTAATTGGGTGGAATGTAAAAGAAAGAGTAGCAATAATTATTTTTATGCTGAAAAGTAAATTATGCCCAGTTGTGTAAATGAAGTGGTCACCAAATATGGAAAACATTCCAGAGAATGTACAGAGGTATCTTTCCTGCATATTTCTTTGCTTCGCCTAGTTTGTATGCTTGCGCTTTAAAGCCATACATTTATGATGTTGGGCTTCCCAGATGTAGTTTTGTATACTGGATATTTCAGTCGTCATTGAATTGTAGAATATGTACTAATTATTAGCACTAAATGGGTTAACTAGTCTTGACAAATACAAAATTAAGTCTTATTTTTAGCCTATAATAACACGAATCTTAAAACAAGGCACACTATTGAATTTTTTAAATACCAATTCAACGTCTCTCAAAAAAAAAAAAAAAAAAAAAAAAAATAACTGCAAAACAGAACTTAGGTGTCCACTAGAAGAAAAGAAAAAACTTTTACCAGGCACTGCAGCCATGAATATTTAAAATATGGGTATCCCACATCTAGAGATGAAGATGTTGCCATGACGTTTTTGTAAATGCTGCTACGAAACCATAAAAAAATGTTAGACATTTGAAATCTAAACATTCCGAGCTGAAAAATAAATCATGTGCATATTTTGAGCATTAAAAAACAAGAATCAGAATTACAAATAAAAGCATTTCAACAAAATATTGTCCAGAATAAGTCACTACTAAAATGGTTATATATAGAGTTGCACTTCAAATTGCTAAAACCAAAAAATCATTTACTATTGACAAAAATTTATTAAAATCAGTTTTATTGGACATTTATTTAGACATTTTTGGATCCTCAGCTGCTGATAAAATCAATTCGATTTCCTTATTGAATGATACTATAAGATGAAGAATTGAAAAAATATCAGAGAATGTGAAATACCAGTTAGTACACAAGATAAAGGAATCAAAAGTTTTTGTAATACAAATTTATGAATCATGCAATATTTCTAAAAAGGCCAAATTAATCTCCTATTTAAGGTATATTGATTTTATTTTGGAAGAAATAAAAGAGGAATTATTGTGTTGCATAGATTTGGTTTCATACACAGCAATAAAATTTTTAATGCACTTAATTCTTATGTTATTAAATACTCTTCAAAAATGAAAAAAACTGGCTAGGTGTAAGTACCAATGGGGCAGCTAATATGGTTGGCAGACATTGTGGCATTACCGAACAATTCAGCTGGGTCTAATGTACTAATTACCCACTGTTTAAACCACAGGTAACATTTAGCAGTGAAAAGTCTATTCACAGAATTAAATGAGGTTTTAGCAGAATCTAAAAATAAATAATTTTACAAAAAGTAAGTGAAAATGATTTAAACAGTAGGTTATTTGCATTATTTTGATGGGAGGTTGGTACAGAACATGAACAATTATTGCTGCATATGGAAGTTAGGTGGCTCTTGCGATGTAAGATTTTAAGCAGGATTTTTGAATTGAGGTGGAAGTGGAAATATTTTTAATAGAGAAAAGAATCCTTTAAGAATTCAGTTGTCTGATATAGTATGTGTATGTTGTCTGATGTAATCCGATTATTTAGTATATTTAAATGGTATATTTTCATATATCAATGATTTAAACTTGAGTTTACAAGGAACTGCAATAAATGTATTTTATTTTTTTAATAAAGTAGACAGATTTAAGAAAAAATAAAGTTTTGTTTGGAAAAATAATAATAGTATTTATATATATGATAATCATTTTGATTTTGTTAATTCGCAGCAAGATTTAAATTAAAAAAAAAGATTTAAATCAAAATTAAATATAATCATTGGGCAGCTTTTACAGTCTTGAAGTGATAGTTTCGAAGAATATTTCCACTCTGGAGAAACCATGTGGGAAAGGAATTGTGGATAACAAACTCTTTCAAAATACATGACAGTAATAAAATAAATTTTAGTAACAGATGATATGAGTCTCATCTTGAGATAAGTTCAAATATCATGTTAAAAACTAGTTTATCAACAATGGCTTTGATCCAAGATAAATTTTAGACCAAAATGGAAAATGAATATCCATCTCTGTATAAGAAAGCAATGAAAATGCTAGTTGACTAATTTAGAACCCACAGTTGAAAAGTTAATTGAAGAAAAGCAGCAGCAGTCTTCTCATTTACATTGTATGCGAACTAAACAAAAATTGTAGATATTCAATTGTAGTAATAACAGGGCTGATTTTTTTTTTCAGGTACTTAATTATAGTGGTCCCCAACCATATTTGCTGATTTTAGATTTGCACCAAGATCTCAGCTATAATTTTGCCTAGTTTGTGCAGTGTAAATGTAAAAATAAGCAACACATTATATAATAACAATAATACATGTCTTTTCCTAAGAATATTTTTAAAAATCCTTATCCTTATTATCATTTTATTGCATGTAATTGTTCCAGTAAACTGCAGTTTCATACATATTAAGCTGATTGTTACACCATTTCATGGATGTCAGCTCCTCTGCCCAAGAATACATAAATTTAATAGTAGGGACAAAAGATATTCTGGAACCGCTGAACCAATTTCCAACATGGAAGCCCTTCTTTTTTGCAGTTTTTAACATTGCACCTCCAAATAGTTTTGTCGTTAACATAAAGTTTCATGTTTTGGCCATTTTTGCATACTTGTTTGACAGATAAAAGACCTTTCTTGAAAAAATTGTATGGCATCCGCTTCATTACTTGTTAAATTAAAGACTGTTGATATCATATTCACAAAAAAAAAAAAAAAAAAAAAAAAAAAAAAAAGAGCAATGAATATATTTTTAAATAAACAATGCGAATTTGAAAACATCGTCAAAAATGAATAGTATAACAACATGGTGTGAGAGCAAAAATATATGGTTATGTGGTGAGGTATAAGAAAACACAGCCAAATCTTAGCGAGATATCTCAGTTGACTGGCGAGTCTTAAAATTTTTGTATTTGTGATATTGTATGAAATGTTTTGAAAAGCCATCCCTAAACAAATATGATTATGTGGAATGAAAATTGTATTAGGACTCTAAAATATTATAAAAGTTCATATTTTGTAATTATTAAAATAATTATTTTGTTCAAAATTTTATTGTGTTTTTCAAATTATGTTCTCTGCCTTTGCTTTAATGCTTTTTCCCTAAAATGGCTTTTCTGTTTCCAGGCCTTTTTCTCTTTCAAAGGGGGGGATTTGTAAGCTAAAAGTAGGTAAACCAAAATTGTAACTTAAATTAGCAACAGCCCCTTAATTCCTCATTTAAATTTGGATATTTCCCCTCTTTATTCTAAAAATAGTAATACTTTTTTTGTGGACTGCATCATTTCTTGATTAACCCATATCATATGACTTTTACGTAATGTTGTGATGAAAATAACCTACATAAGCTTTCAGCCAGTAATAATTTTAGAGAGTTATTAATTATTTAATCAAAATTGAAACTAATCTACTCTGAATTAAGATTTTATCCCAAACATATCGCATTTGCTTTCTGCCCCTTGGCCTAGCTAGATTGCTGCTGGCTGCTTCTCATCTTACTGCAAAGCTACAAAAAATGTAAATGTTTTGAAATAGACACAATCAGAGTGCCAAGTTCTATGGGGTTGCAAGCGTCAGTTTATATAAAAATGAATGCCTCGGCTGCCAGGTTGTCATTCATTATGGATTAGCATCAACAGAATTAATACAGTCAAAAGTCATTAATCCGGACTCGTCGGGACTTCGACGATTCCGGATTATCGATTTTTCCGGATTATAGATCATCAGTTTAAATCTCGTAAGATGGCATGCACAAATTCTAAAATTAAAAATATGAAACCGTAATTTATGAAATAAAGAACAATTATGATCTAAAGGGTATCAAAATTTACAAAAAAAGAAGCTTAATATTTATTTGTTTACTTTATTAAACATTTCTTTCAATGTAAGTTGTTTCGTTTTATGTGATAATACTTTCTCTTTAATTCTATAAACAGACATAATTTCTTGTTCAGTTACAAAGTTCCGCTGTTCAAGTCCCGTAATTGCTGTGCCGAGAATACCGACTAACTTTTCAATCGAAATTTTTTCGTTTTCACTAACCTCTCTGTCACCTTCTTCATATCTTTATCCATTTTTTGCAGCAATTCCACTTTTTGTTTGACGGACATCGAGACATACTTTCGTTTTGTAGATCCTTTGGGAGCTCCAGAATCGGAAATTGACATAATCTAAAGTTCAAGTTTACTTTTATAAAATTGCTCTTACAGTCTGCAAAAAATAATAAGCCGCATCCAATTCGAAGATTAAGGAACAACGCAATCATCAACATTAACTGAAATAGATAATTATATAATTTGAGCTTATACCGTCCGTTATACATTAAACGCGCACGCAAAAACGTATTCTGCACTTGCGCACACGCATATGCGCGTGCGCGTAAAGGTCTTAGCGCACGCGTAAACGCCTATGCGCATGTGTCAACGCGGCGCATGCGCAGAAAGTTTTTAGCTTTGAGGTCCGGATTATGGGTGTCCGAATTAACGACTTTTGACTGTATTTTAACATCATTACTTCCAAATCTACATTACATGCACACACACACATATATATATATTATTCAGTTCATTTAAGTTTCAGATGTTTTATATGGGTTTTCATATTATGCAGTGTTGATATGAACTCTCAAAGGTAAAATTTAGGAAAAATCTGATGTAGGAAGAAATATTTAACACAAGAAAGCTAGGAAGTGAGCCATATTGTAATTTATGATGTGGTTGACTGTTATAAATCTTCCAAAAAAATTTTTAAAAATATCTTTTGATTTTTTCAAAAGCAGAAAAAACATAAATTTTCAACAAAAATTGCAAGTAATTTGAGGTGATAAAATTTCTAATGTATTTAAATTGTTTTGAAAAGTAAAAAAGCAAATGAAATAAACAGATAAATAATAAATTATGATGAAGCTAGACAAATACAGAATTAAGGAAGATCAAAGCATGGTTAAGCAATCCCATAACTTCAACTTTTTAATTGAATATCTTTTTTATCTCTTAATATTTCCATAAATACAAGTCATGCAAGAATTTAGGAAGTGAAATGAAAATTATATTTGTATATAAAAAATTACATTTTGTTATTTAAAAATTAATGTTTTCGTTTCTAAGAACAGACAATTAGTGTTGAAAATGTTGAATTAGTTTCTTGAATAATTTAGTTTTGAAATTGCATAATGATGTTTGACTCTTTCTCTCTCTTTTTTTTTTTTTTTTAAACAGGTGGATGCTATCAAATTATCATCCTTGCCTGTTTTAAAGACGTTCATCATTAAAGATGATGATTTGGAAATTAAAATAATTAGTCGAGGAATGGCACCTGAAGGAGGTGGTGAGGTTTTATTTCGTTGTCCTGTTGTGAATTACATTCGTCCAGTTAAATATCTGGACACTGGCAAAGTTAAAAGGATTCGGGTGTAGCATATTCTGTACGTGTATCACCTGCTATGGCCAGTAGAATGGTTGATACTGCAAAAGGCATTTTGCTGAAATTTCTTCCTGATGTTTATATTTATACAGACCACTATAAGGGTAAAAATTCAGGAAAGTAAGTTTGTTATTATATATATACATATGTGCATGTATGGGTGTTTATACACTTAAACATTTAAAGTGTAATTTAGGATTTAGTAATAACTTAACATTAATATTATACTACAATATAATATTTTAATATTAAATTTATTATGGAACTTTTTTGAATACCAAGCAAAGGATTCCCTAAAAACATAGATTTAGTAAGAGGAAAGACACTGGCAATATTCCCTGATGAAAGATATTATTTTATTCAGTGTTTGGATTCTTACTTTTATTCAGTTATTTTAAACACTGAGTAAAAGGATATATTACTTTTATTGGATTTTTTTAAGGTACAAGATTCTAATTAAAATTTACTTTGTTTTTTCCTTACTTTGGTGAGCGGCCAGAATTTTGGAGTGAACTATTATAATTAAAATTCATTGAAATGGTTCATCGGCTAATTCTGGATACAGAAAAGCAAAGATTTTTGTGGAAGAGAGATTTCAATTGATTTCAGTGTTCCTCCTTCTGATGAAGTAGCATTGAAGTTGATTGAATTCCTCTTCTATTATGTTTGTTTTTCTTTAAATTTCATTGATTTTTTTAATTGGGGTATTGCTTGTTTGAAGAGTTGTGGTTTTATCATTTTTAAAATTCTTTATTGCATTTATATTATTATATGAAATTTATTAATTATATATATAGTTTTAATTAAAAATTAACTATTATTCTATTCTGAAAAGTGTAAAATATATGTGAAAAGGACTGTTGTAACTAGAAAAACATTTAGCAAATAAAATATAAATAAAAATTACACAAAAAATTACTAAATTTTAAGATAAAATAATTAAATAAGCCTTTTATATTTAATTATTCATAATTTAATGTTTGAGACCTGACCGACAGGGGGTAATTATCTGACTGATTGAGGAGTTCTCAAAAAGCTTTTCGCCCTTGTTGATTATTTGAGAATACCAAACAAACCATTAATAATATTAAAAAATCATTTTTATATATAGACAAAAAGTAAGAAATTTAGAACCAATTCTACAAATACCGAAAAGAAGTGAAATTCAAAACCAGTAAATTTTTAAATTCCCTATAAATATGTAAAATTAACCCAAATCAGAAGAATTAAAGAAATGTGAAATACTAAACCTCAAAAATACAAAAAACCACAAAAAATAATTATGAATACATACAAATACAAACAAAGGAAAAGGAATGCAATCAAATCTGCTGTAATGCTATCAAGAGAAGGTACATCAGACTCAATTGAGATCTCCCCATTGAAAACCACTGTGTTTCTGTTATCCAAAATTGGCTGTTGAACCACTCCAAATTATTTAATTGTTACAGTTAACTCGAAAAATCTGAATTCTTCCCCAGTACAATTTAAGAATTCCAATAGTAAATCAAACAAAAGAATTTAATGTAAATGTTTTACTGAATTTTAGATTGAATGTAAGTAGAAATACAAAAAACTACTAATAAATTACAAAAATTCAAATGCAAAAATACTAATAAATTAACCCAGAAAATGAATTTAACAGATGATGAAGAAACAGTCTGTTAGAGAAAAATACTACACAGATCCAAATAAATAAATAAAAAAAAAAAAAAAAAAAAAAAAAAAAAGTTGAATAATGTAAATAATTAAATACTCTTTGCATAATTGTGAGATGGATATACCTTTATTCATTCTTTGCAGCAATTCCACTTTTTGTTGAATGAACATTGAAACATGCTTTCACTTTGTAGATTCTGTTACAGCTCCAGAATTAGAAACTCTTTTTTCATGATCAAAAATTGAAACTTTAATTTTCATCAAATTGCTGTAATAAAAACAGCCTGCAAAAATAATTAAGCTGGATCAAATCAGGAAGTTAAGGAACAGCGCAATCTGCTACATTAAGTGAAATTCCTTGGAAGTGTAATTTTAGCGTAGTTTAATCGCATCCACTATACATTATTGGCATTATATCATGAGATTGGGGATGAAAGACCAGTTATTTTGCTAAATTTTGTCTTGCTTCTATTGCGCACTGAGACAATTAAGCTTGATTGCGTTAGTTTAGTTATTTATTATACTTACGTCTGTTTCTTGCACATCCTTAAGGCTTATCTGAATCCCGAATAAATAAATTCCCACATATATTTGGCTTATCGAGAGATCTAGATATCTTACTGCTTGATGCAGTCTCGGCCAGCCCTAAATTATGCTACTAAGCACTTCCCTAAGTTCTAAATTTTTGCCTCTTCTAAATTTTGGATTCCAGTGCTTTCTCTGACTTCTAAAGATATTTTCAACCTTTAATTTTGTTGCTCGGTGCTTCTCTAAATTCCCAAAGTCTTGTCTTCCCTAAATTCTGCCGCCCATTGTAGCCATAGGAGCTCAGGTGCTGGTTCTGGGTTAATGTGAAAAACGATTCTATTCTTAATTCATATAGCACTAAATGTAATCCTTTGGTCTATGAGTATCATTAACAAAATCTATTTTTAGCATATGGAAAGAAATTTCTGTTAAATTTTTTCTTGTCAATATTTCTTAGTGCATTTAACTTAAATCTGTAATCATTGCCAAGCGGAATGTCAACATAAAAGGTTACTATAATCTTTGTACTAATATAATTACTAATATAAAAAAAATTGATGGGGCATTGCTGCATGAGTCATTACTCAAGTTGTCATGTATTGATTGATAAACATGCAGTGATGAAAGCAAAATATAATAAATAATGATTCGCCAGTTTGGAGTCAGGGATATAAAATATTAGTAGGTGTAACATCAGCGATGTTTCTATCTAAAATATTTCATTTTGAGATGTATGCCAGACAGATACGTAGCTACGGAGCCAAATTATTGATCACACAAATTTATGCCAAATTCTTGTTTCTTTAATAATGAGGTATTTATTTGGTGCCAAAGAGAAATTAAGAATCAGGACTCTCCACATGCATTATCTGCGGGGAAAACAAATGTGCATGCATAAAGCATTTAAGAAAAAGTTGTTGACGGTTTTGAGGTTCGGATATTGGACTTTGCTGGCTTCAGATTTTCAGTAAGCCTAAAAATTCACATTAAATTTCTAAAGGGGGGCAAGTACTCTATTCCACATATCTGGAGAAATTAAATTATTGCCAAATGTATTAATATAGTAATGTGCAGATATATATGTTTCCATATGCCTTATGTATGAAAAATAATTTGGTACTCCATAATTTCTTTAGTTCTTGAATCTAAACCAATTCTGATTTGTTAATAAATATTTTACTGAAGACTTGTTAGATGTTATTTATGTCGGTAGATATTACTTATATATTGCAGGCAAGAATCTTATACATGTAGTCCTTCACAGCAAGAAGTAATAATATCAACATATATTCATTTAAATGTTGTACATCTCCTATTACTTTCATAGTTTCTGGATGCCCTTGTAGAATTCAACTGTTGGAACATTCTTTGCATTCCTCATAACACTTCTTAAATTTTTGAGAAATTGCTCATTAAGAAAAAAAAATTTGTCTAGAGATTAGAAAGTAGTCCATAAATGTCTAATATGGTGAATAATAAGTAGACCGATTGCACTTTTTTGTGCAACAAACTGAAAGAAGGTAGCAGATTGAATGCATGATAGAAGTTATCATAAGGTCAAATAAAAAATTTCATTTAAATTCCTTTCTGTAAACAGCTGATGTTTTACTCAGTAAGCAGAGATGTATTAATAATCCCTACTTCTAATTATCATTTGGAAACTTGTTTGGGTTTTTTGCCATAAAACAGGAAATTAGGTTTTTCTGCATCTAACATTCAACTAAAACTTCAATTATTGAAACTAAGTAAACTGTGATTAAATAAGTATTTTCAGACAGTACACTAAAACTCTTGACAACTGTCATGGTCTCTGTAAAAGCTTATGAGTAAAATTAAACTTAATCCCAAGCTAAATGATGACTACAAACTAGATGGTTAGATAACATTGAAAAAGACTGAAAATTAAAAATTGGTGCAGAGGCATTTCAGATACAAGACACTCTAAGAAGCATGTGGTTGAGGCAACCAAAGTCAATAAGGGGTGTTGTGCTTGTAAAGAAAAAGAAAATTAAAATTCCCAACTGTACAAAATTAAAATAAATATACACACATGATGAAAAAAATATATAAATGTGGAAAGATGTTAGAACACAAAATCATATTGTTACACCTAACTATGATACACAGAGAACTGAAACATATAAATAAAATTAGGAGATAGTAAAAAGAGTACAAATGCCATTATATTAAAATACTAAATAAAATACACAATGTATTAAATCAAGTGGTTGAATCTTTGATTCTCCTTTATTCCTTCATTCTCTTTTAAAAACTGTAAAATGTTAACAGCAGGATTTTTCCCAATTAAATTCAATAAGGCAAAACTGAAAATATTAAAATGCTTGTTGCAGGTGCAATTAAAAGATGGACTATCAATTAAAATGTGTCATATTGATAAAATAACTTTACACTTTTTACGAACAAGTTCATTGTGTGCTTTTAACAATATTAGTGCATGACATGAGAATGATCTATCATTAGTAATTGAGACAAATTCCTTTTTTTCTTTCTGTTGGATACCCAGATGTTGCTGATGTTATTAGAAAAGATTCAGTTCTTAAACCTTTTAGACACAATGTGTATGTGGAAAATTAATGAAAAGACAGTTTAATATATAGACAGATAAGGATTATATTTTCATTATGGATGTTTAAAGTATTTTGCTAGAAATCTAGATCTCTTTTGATTAACAGTCAATTACCAAAGCAAGAAACTTTTGTAAATTTCTTGGCTTGTTTATTGAAAGTGATAATTATGAAAATTTGGATTTTACTTAAAGTAACCTGAAATGTGTTTTTAATAACTGTCTTTAGTTAACATTTGGCACCTTTGCTGGGATTAGTAGAAAAAATTCACTCTTAAAACATATATATATGTTATATGTATGTATATAGTTTCTTAAAGTGATGTTTTTATTATTTTAGGTCTTTCATTATCTTATTATGTGTCATTTAAGATTATGTTTAAAATACTTTGTAAGAAAACAAAAAAGCAAAAAAATGTTTTTCTTGATTAGCTGTATTATGAATATTTAGTAAATTACCAAAGCAAAGAAAGTTTCTTACTTTTCCTGGCTTTCCTAATGAAAGTGATAATTGAGAAAATTTTGGTTTTACTTTATTAATCTTAAGAATTTTGATCATATTTTTTTACTCATTTCAGTTCTTAAATATTATGTTTTTTATATATAGATCACCAGGTTTTGGTTTAACTTTAGTAGCAGAAACTATAGCTGGTGCTTTCTATTGTGGTGAAGCAGTTTCAAAGCCTTCAGGATCTGGAGAGGCTTTCATTGTTCCTGAAGACATAGCTAAACAGGCTTGTCATAATCTTCTAGAGGAAATTTATCGGGTATGTATTGGGGCATACGTGCAATTTATTTGTCTATTTATTAGTATATATTTATTGTGTTTTTTTTTAATTTGGTTACTAATTTAAAATTTTTATTCTTATTGAAGAAAACTCAAAAATAATTTTGATTTTTTTTTAATTTTATTTCTGTTGTGTAAAAATTAAAGTTTCCGGCATCACTAGCTATAGAAATTTTGGATTGAAATTAGATAAAATTCTAAAAAGCATTTCTTTATGTGTGAATGAGTAGTGGCAATTTCTATTAATGTTCTAAATATTTTCTGTGTGAATACATAACACAAATTTGAAGTTGCTTATCAGAATAATGTAAACATTTTGGGTTAAAATGTAGGCAAGACCAGCATGTTGTCAGGGCTGAAATGTTTCCATTTATTCCATAACTTATTTCATATTAAGTATCTGAATTGTTCTTCTGTTTTTCCCTCTTTATTGTTGAATAAATTATTTGATTTCATCCTAATGAAGCAAAAGTATGAGAATTTTTTTTGTGAAACCTACAAAAAAGTTCACTTTCACTTTGATATGAAGCTCTTTGTTGTGTTTGAATCGCACTTGTTGCTGATACTAATGGCTCCACATTTTATTTTTGCTGACATCTTAAAGTGTAACATAATAAATGTTGAGTTTGAGATCCTTAGAATTGGAAGTAGCAAGCAATATTGTACATTGAATCATGAAGCTTGTAAGGCATATTTTAATTTTATAACAGTTATTTAAAGTTTATGACACTTTCATATCTTTTTTAGCTTCAGCTTACAATTCCTTACCAGATTGAGTTTTTAGAATTGTGTTAAATGCAGATGAGAAGTAGAAAGTATTTAAGTCAAGGTTCCACTAACTTCAAGAGAGAGAGAGTTAGGATTCCTGAATAACGCACGTTTGCCTTTTTGCTATGTGTCTCTAATTGTTATTACACTTGGCTGTGTTACGACCTTTTGATAATTTCACTGGCAAGTTAAAATTACAGGCCAACTAGTTTAGAATTGTGTTAGCTTCAGCTAAATCTCTTTAGATAGTCATTAGTTAATTCTTATTTCTTACATTTTGTGTTTAACCCCAAGTGGAGGCTTTTCTGTACGCCCCGAGAAAGGGGCCATCTAGAAAATCTTTATTTTGAGCAAATAAAGGGTAATTAACCCTTCTTGAGTGTACGTTTCTGTTCTTGGACTTAAGCGATTATTTGCTTAGTAGTTCTTTAGATTCCTCGCCATTACATTTAGCGAGATAATAGTGAGGAACATGGCAAACTATTTATTTAAAAATTTGTCAGACAGCTTTTGTGTCCTATGACATTTAATGTATTGTTTTTTCACTTTGGTTGCATTAATGGCAAATTTGCAATAAGTATTTATGTATTTGGGCATTTTTTCCCTTCTCCAATTCTTCAGCTTGTTTCAAATTAATTTTTTGTGAAAAATATATTACTTTATGAATTTTATGTAATGTAATAAATTTTTAAGGAAAAGTTTTATAATGGCTATATAAACAATCATCAATTATACATCAATTATAATGTGAACAACAATCAATTATAATTCAGTCATCAATTATAATTTAAAATGGTGGAAATTTAGTATTATCTTCCACCCAAATAATTTATATACTTCCTTCAAAATGAAACTTTCTTAATTTATTAATGATAAAAATTATTTGGAATTACTTAAGAAGCAGAGTGTTATATTTTTAAATAATAACCAATCGCTTAACATAAACTGTTGGACTAACTGTGACAACAAGGCTGCCCTCTGGTGAGTAGCCAGAGAAGTACTTCAGTAAAAGCCAAGGCTCCCACTTGATAGGTTGTATCAGACCTTTGCCCAGGAAACCAAAAAACTGAGACTAGAGACACTGTTACAAAAGCTCCCAAATCCTCCAGTTCTGTCTCCTTGCCGGAACGTCAGCAGAGCCAGAGGGGAATTTTGTAACCAATCCCTTAACATAAACTGTTGGACTAACTGTGACAACAAGGCTGCCCTCTGGTGAATATCCAGAGAAGTACTTCAGTAAAAGCCAAGGCTCCCACTTGATAGGTTGTATCGGACTCTTGCTCTGTAAATTTTCTTAAAGTTAAATGTAATGTCCGTGTAAAACTTAAACTTGTTAATAAATACTTGTTGCATTATACAGGACTCTTCTATAACCCTATCTAAAACGACCCCTTCACAAAGTGGCTCATGTCATCACTTTTTGGATTAAGTGAGGAATTAAAGGTTGTAATTGTAACTTGGGGATATCCATGTCAGTGAGTTTCAAAGCAGGTACGGAATCATGACTAGCACCTGAACTAGCTACTTCTATTTTCAATTTCTCAAGCTCATGCTTGCGTTCTTCTATCTCTTTCCTTTCATTATATTTGCGTTCCTCATGCTGTTTTCTTTCGTTAAATTCACGTTCCCCTATTTCTTTCCATTCTGCAATAATGCTAAAAAATAGATCTTTAGTAAACTCTTCATTATATCCCTTACTTGTTAAAATGACATCCTTAATATGAACTATTGTCATTTGTTCCGTAGCATTCACATCAAGTTTTGCTAGAATACACATATCTTGTTTACGTCCTTTAGCAAAAAATGACATGGTGACGTGTTTCACTTAAAATAAAGTCTTTGATGAAAAACAATTTATTATGGCACTAATTAGAAAGTTGTAATGAGGTCACCTTACCCAGAAAAGATTTTTACTAATTTTACTATAGAATAGCACTATACTAAAGTTAGTTGTATCAAAATTAACAGTCAAAATAATATATAAAAAACACTCTCTTCCTTATAATAAAACATTTTACAGGGCTAGAAAGGGCACAGTTTAAATAACATCAATAAAATTCTTTTCCGTTAATTATTTCTATTCTCAAAGAACAAAATAAAACATTAACAATAGCAATTACGTACATGCTTCTTTAAATCATCAAATATAAACAATTTTCAGCAATGTAAGCAGAAATGGAAAAAAAAAATCAATAAATAAAACCTTTATGGACGCAACAGGGTAATAAACATGTCATTGAGCCACTGGTTCGTCAAGTTAAGCTCAAATCAAAAGTACGCTTATAAGATTGAATTCATTCAGCATATGATAATAACAATTTCTAATACAGAATTTTATCTTAAGATGCCTCGCTTTGAATATATTATACCTTTTTATGTTTAACACATTTACCATTTCAAAACAAAACTGAATATTATGATTATGCAGTTCTCGAGCACTCATTATGTATAAACAAAGTGAAAGAATTTCTTAATCACTTCAAAATGATACAATATTCATTAAAGATATACATATATACTTTAAGAACACAGTTAAGTATTTTTACGTTTTCATATTTAAGTATTTTCACGTTTTCAGCATTAAGGGTTAACACATTATAGAACATTAGTGTTTAAATGCAAAACAAATTATATCATTGACAACTATTTGTTGCTGATAAGCCATTGAAGTGGCACACACACACACAAACAAAAAAAAAAAAAAAAAAAAAAAAATCATACCTGACGGGCGAGGTATCTCTTTTCCTAAAGTTTTAGGAGTTAGATCCAGCGGGTGTGGCTGTAAGTACTATTTCTGAAAAAGAAAGTGAGCAAAAGCCAAGGAAAATTCTTAAAGCTAAACATTAAAGTTGGGTATCACTATGTGAAGGGGTCGTTTTAGATAGGGTCACAGAAGAGTCCTGTATAGTGTAACAAGTCTTTATTAACAGGTTTAAGTTACACGCGGACATTACATTTAACTTTAAGAAAATTTACAGAGCAAGAGTCCAGTACAAACTATCAAGTGGGAGCCTTGGCATTTACTGAAGTACTTCTCTGGCTACTCACCAGAGGGCAGCCTTGTTGTCACAGTTAGTCCAACAGTTTATGTTAAGGGATTGGTTACAGAAAAATTTTTCTTATTTGCTCAGAGTTTTCTTCTATAAGATCTTTGGTTAAATAAATGGAATTGAATAATACTTGCATACATTTTAATATGTCAAAGTATTAACATTTTTTTAAAACCATTTTATAAGAATTTTAGGTTTAAATGTTTTCAAAAATTCAACATAACAGTGTTTAAGAAACAGAGAAATGCAATTTTGGTATTGTGTAGCTTACTCTAATATGTATATAAAATGTGTGTAAGATTTCATTTATAATGTTAATAATATTATTAACATATATGATTTATAGTTAAATGAATTAATAGTTTCCATATATTTGCAGTAATAATAGTATTAAGAAGGCAATAACTTATACATGAATTTAAAAAGTTTTGTTAATTTTAATAGACATGGGGTATATATATATATATATATAAGTTAAAATTTTAAATAAAGTTAAAAAAATTTTTTAGTTAATTTTTTACTCCTAGTCTTGTACTTTTTTACTTACAATACTTGCAGTTAATTTTTTACTTGCAATTTTTTTAGTTAATTTTAATTAAATTTTTTACTTGCAGCAGTGGTGCAAGAGAATTATTTAAATTTAATTTAACTTTACTATTTTCTTGTGAAACAATATATGTATGTTACGATGAAACACCGAAATCTGGAGAATGTTGACTTTCATCGGTGAATGTCAACATTCACATAGTCGCTTGGCGTATGTCTGAAATATTTTCCAAATTCTCTTATTTCTGACTTACGCCGGTAAATGTTGACTTTCACCATGTACTAATGGTGAATGTTGAACATATAAGAGTATTATATTTTCTTCTCCGTAATTCAGCCGCGAAAAAACACACTTGGACATTACACAGATGGGTAGATATTTCCTTACCTTAACATACTGTAATAATAATCTTAAATATCATCAACTTGCAAGACATATAGGGACTGTGCTAGAGGAGTTGATTCTGAAAGGGGTTCAAATAGCAAGAAAAAAATTGTGAACTATATGATTAGGGTATGTCTTATTATACATGCTTAAATGAATTTTTGTTATTAAAATAAGGTATTTTTGCATAAGACTTGTCTTATGTTGTACATTTATGTGTTTTAAATTATACTCTTCCATTTTGTCATAAACACCCAGAAAATTGAAATTTTGGTTTAATATGGTAATTCTGAATCATTATCTTTCAATAGGGAGGATTTGTTGATTCAAATAATCAGAGTTTAGCATGTTTGTTTATGGCACTGGGAACAACTGATGTATCCAAGCTGAAAACAGGGCCTTTATCACCATATACGTAAGTTCTCTTTTTAAAATTTATTTATAGAAAATTTGGCATGTTAATGTTATAGGAGCCATCATGAAGTAAAATCAAGAAGCAGAAGACACATGAAATAAGAAAACATTATCTAAAAAAGTTTTGTGATTTGGTATCTTGCACAAATTTGTCATTATGCATATAAAACATTACACATATATTATTATTGCAATGTTGTTTATGATTCTATATAAATATGTTACTGCATTTGGTATTTTGGCACTCATATGCCGAGTGATGCTCTATTGACAGAAAAGTACAATAAAATGTAACAAATTTACAGATATGTTTATTTCTTGAATGTAGTTTTTTAGCTTACATTTAATTGTTACAGAGTTTCGTATGTTTATTTGTTTCATATGGTTTCCATATATTTGTAGTTGTTAATGTGGCTTCAAAAGAGAAAGTAAAAAGGCATTTATTTCCCCTTAGAAAGTGTGTAAAATTTGTCATGAACTGTACTAAATATCAGTGATGAAAGCATTTGGAGACACAGCTTTAAAAATTGCAGGAAGAAGGAAGGCACTGATGTTGATTGGTTCTATGGTTACTGTATACCACAGAACTGTTCTTAACTGATTCCTAACAGTGTTGCTGTTTTAGCTGTTGGAAGAACTCCTGCCTGCAGCTCTCCTTGTTTCTCATCACATGTACCAGTAATCTTGGTAGTTCATAGAATCTTCCAATTTTTAGTTTTTACTAAGGAAAATGTTTCCTAGCAATAAAGGATATTTATTGAATTAATGAAACTTAAATTGTGCAAATTTATATTCTCTCACTGTTAGTATTTTCAGCATAATTTTTTAACATTAAATTTCATTTTATCTGAATTATCTTAATTTATTGCATATATTTGTAGAACCTTTTATGAAGACTCAACAATGTTAAATAAGTTTATATTTAAATTTTGTTATATATCAATGTATGGTACATTAAGTTTATTCACATGTTTTGTATGTTAATTATTAATTTTATTTTCATCATATTTGAAAGTTGTATGACACTTTGATAAGTAAAAGCTTTCTTTCCCTATTAAAGTTTTTTTTTAATACAAAGGGGTAAGAAAATTATTCTTAGACTTTAAAATTTAGACTATCTATAATTAAGTATTAGTATATTTTGTATAGTTGAATAACATGAATTAAGTCGGTTTGAAGTACCTTTTGCTGTGGTGTCTGTGCAGCTAGCTTCTGGTTTGTCATATCTTGAATTGTCATTTATGATATAAAAAGCAGTTAAAAATGTGTGAAACAACAATTTTGATGTGCTTCAAGTAGAAGAAGTAATAGAAGTACACTACTTCTACTTAAAGTGAGAAATTACTCTTATTTTTATTTTTTTTATTTATGCTTGTTATGTAGTGGCCTTAATCTATTGTCATTCACCTTGCATTTCTGCCACAAAGTTCACAATGTGCAGATCTGCAGCAAATGTACGAACAATTATATATTGTGAAAATATTTTGTGGGGCCTCTCTCAAGTTTGGGTCCATCGCAATATATTGTTGGGCTTCTAAACTGGCCCTGTTTACAATAAAGCTCTGCAGATCACATGTGTGATATGTACCATGTCCAGGATAAACTATATAAAAGCTGTGATGCAATCTAGACTAGTAAAATATATCTTGCACTCATAATTATACATAAAATGCATGGTGCAGATAATGATATTGTTGTTGCTACCAAAGCATGTACAGTAGGGTGGAGCAAAAAAAAATAATATAGTTGTACAATTGAATATATATAAATAAAGTGTAAAAATGAATATAAGTAATATATTTGAATTAAACTAACATACAGAATAATGATTATTGGAGGACTTAAAGCAACAAGAATCAACATATTATTCACAAATTTGCAAGGCTGGTTTTGAAGGTTTAAATATAGAACCTTCTTCTTCAGCTGCAGAAGTACAAATGATGAAATGGAAGCCGATGTTCAAGTGATAAGAATGAGAGGAAGGAAATCAAGCTACTGGTATCATCTATTGATGAAAAATGAAGACAAATATGAAATAATTTCCTTAAAAAGCAGATGGAAAAGCCAGAATGGAATTGGGATTGTTAACTTGAACTAAAAGATTTTTACCAATGGGAAATGCCTCTAAAAAATCTAATTCGCTAATGGAAAATGCTTTTGAATAATTTTGGCTGCAAAAAATGGAAAATGGGATTTTTCTGACCAACAGTGTTGGGATGATTTTTTGTGTTTCTTTTTTCCTTAGCGTATGTCACATGTTCATGAAGACAAGATTTTAAGCTGTCTTTGTTTGACTAATGTAAATTTAACTTCATTGGTGAAGCATCTTGTATATATCCCAGGAGTTCATATCCAGAATGAGGTCCTTAAGTATGGAACCGTGAATTTTATTTACAGAAGAGAAAACGACATGAAAGTTGAATTTCTGCAAAATACATGCAATTACATGTATAGCTAATCAATGGAAAGAAAGGAATGACAACATAATTCTTATAATCTCCTAAAATGAAAGGGTGCTTTTTGATGTGTTGAGGTGAGAATTTTTTAACTACTTGGTTAATAATGTTAGGTGAAGAGCTACTGTTTATTATCAAACTGGAATGCAATCAAGATGTAAGTATTTTTAAATAAATTTATTTTAGTGTGACAAAGTAAGTAATTAATTTTAAGCTGTGGTGACTTATGTTCATATGTCTTCATTTACTATATTGATTAAAATTTCTTTTACCTAATTTATACACATGAATACATTTTGTTATTGAGGCTGATTGGTGCATTCTGACAATAAACTGCCATCTGTTGCTAAAAGTTCAAAATGTAAAATTTTATTAGCTATTTTATTACATGATGTAGTAAATTAGAATGTACCAATAAAACCTTCAGACTTAACAGATATCAATAAAATCTTTAGATTTATCTGTCTTCTGATTTTTGCAGTAAATATATACACATTTCTGAATATAAAATGCATACTACTTGCATTAAACTTATTCACAAATGGAAAAGTTTGTAATTTTGATCATATTCATTTATATTATTTACTCTTTCTCAAAATCTTTTTTTCTAAAAATAAATCATTATTTTTCAGTACATTTAAAATTGTATATGCCATTTATAAAATTACGGAAGTAAGTTTTTTATGTAATTTTTTTAGGATACAATTTTTACGGCATATTGAAGATTTCTGTCAGCTACGAATGAAATTGGAAACAGACGAGAATGAAAAACTGCAGTTAGGAACTCACAAAGTCATCTTGACATGTGTGGGAATTGGCTATACAAATATTAGCAGACCTGTAAAATAATATTTATGTGTATATTTGTTTTGATAATAAAAAATATTATTTTAATAGTGTCTTTTCTTAAAATGAGTACTAATTAATACAAGAATTTGTGCCATTGTGCTAAATTAGTTTTACTGAAATTACTGTATGAACAAATATTTCAGTGTTAATCTTTCCTGTTACTTAAATATTTGGGTTATAGTACATGAAAATATTTTTCTATAAACGACAGTGTATTTTAAATAAATCAATATGTATTGACTTATTTACATTGAAAAGTAGCTTACAAAAAGCATGGATTTATTGTATATTTCAGAATATAAGCCAATACATGTTTTAGCAGAAAGTGATTTTTTTCCTTCATAAACTAACCCAAGATTCAAAACCTGTATATAAGCAGTAATGAAAGCAAATTCATCTAACATTCCCCATGAGGATGAAAATGTTGTCAGCCAATAAAATGGACATAATAGTTTCAATCAGATTGCCATAGTGTAAAACACCAGATGCCAACGACCATAGTTTTAACTGTGGCAGCCCTCTCTGAAGCTTGCACATTTATTCCATTCATTTGTTCTGTTATGTACCATCTTTGGTATGTATTCTAGTCTTATTTTCTGTGCCATTTAATTTTTTGTGTTAAAGATTATTGGGAAGAGAAATGCTTGAATTAAATTTTTTTTCACAAATTTAAGAAATAAAAAAAGTGTGATATTTAGTGATTTATCAGTGTGCTCACAGTTAACTGAAATGTCCTTTGTTTTTATGAGATTAGCATATCCATATATAGGCCAACCTCTATAATTTAGCTTTAGCTAGCTCCAAAAATTCTCAACTTAATACATGGGAATATACAGTATGCAAAATCAAAGGAGTTTGAGACTATTAGGCTGGTATGCACAATTTTAAGTTTATTCATGTGTAGACACTGTTGCAAAAAGATTTATTATATTTAAACTGTTACATATTTTAATTATTGGTTCACTTACTTAACTTGCTGTAATATTTTTAGGAATTTCAATGACAGCCATCACCATTATTGCAAAATTAAACAGTGTAATATTTAAATTGATAATACTGTATGCATAAATCATCATTCATGGCCAATGAACACACAGTGATACATTTTTCATTTGAAACTATCTTGACTAATATAGCAATAACTTTAATCTTCCCTTTTTTATTGAAGGGGGGCCATTTATAGCTAAACCTATTTTTTGTTTTTGCTGATGTATATCATTGACTAATATGTTCTTCAAATTTTCATTTCTATTTAAGTAAACCTACTATGAAAGAAAATGTCATGAAGTGTCTCGTACTTCTTGCCAACATATGTAACACATGCTTACATATATGTTACTTCTCACAGCAGTGGTAATTAGAATTATAGTCATTTATAAAACTAGGTAAAATGTAGAAATTTCATCTAATCATAGACCTATTAGCTTATTTTCCAGCGTAGGCAGGAGTTTTAAGAGTGCTTCGTTGATGACTGAATGATACAGTAAACTTTGCCTGAATGTGGGGTTATATCATTGATACATTGTGCAAACAATAAAATCATACTCTACAGAGTATGGGAGAAATTTGTTTGGTGTAATTAAGATTAAGAAAGTATATATAATTTAAACACACCTAAATATGATTGTAATTAAAAGGAAAAATTAAAACAAATGCTAATTAAGAGGATTTTTATGACTCCATAATAAGCGACAATTAAAAAGAAATCTGGCGATTTTGGCTTTGGATAATGACTAACATAACTTTAAAAGTTTCATTGCTAAGGAAATTGTAGCAAAGTTTTTCAATGCTTGTCTTAAATTGCTCTCTGCCTTCTTCATTTGCGTAAATCTCCATTGCAAAATCAAACAGTTTGTGTGCCTTTTTAACAATGCATTTAACTTGTAAATTAAATGCACTTTACTTCTTTTTCAACATCACTGGTTTCACTGTCCTCTGGTGTTACAAGATCATCCAGTTCTTCATTCGTCATTTCTCGATTAATTCTTTGACTTCTAATTCATTAATAAATGAATCTTGAACTGCATATAAATGAAATTTTATCGTTGGACAAATTAAATGGAAATAATTAAGGTAATGAATATGTGTGAAATCGCATTTCACAAATCCAATCACAAAGGATTAACTGTATGTGGAAAAATCTAACTTTATCAGTTTCTCATACTTTGCCTTAAGTCATTTTATGATACATTAAAAAAAATATTGTATAAACAATTTGTGAAATGTTTGTCCAGAAAGAGTGAGTCTTGTTATGTCAATTTTTTCTCTTTTGAAAAAGCATTTGCCCTTGTTGAATTCCAGAGCATTATTTTCAAGCAAAAAATGTCAACCTGTCAATTAATTTCATGAAGCTACAGTTTTTTTTAATCATAAAAACAAGTAAGGTTTTCTAGTTAAAACCATTGACTGTCTCTTGAAAAGGAAAACAAATATGTCAGGTATCAATCTTCAGACCAGTTGTCTTCAGTATTTTCATCGATGATTTTCTGGAACCTGGATTTTAAAATTCCAAAATTATCAGATATTTGACATAAATCTATCAGCCCTCAGTCAGAACTTAACTAAATTAACTTAATTGTTATTGTACATTGGTGCATTTGATAAAAAGCTAAATTTAACATCTCTATATGATATGTTATTTCATAGATATAGGAAAAACAAGAGACTCATTTCTAAGTTAATAAAGAACTGCTTCTTATAACATTAATTGAATAACTTGGCATCATGCTGAGTAACCAACAAGTTTATCAGTCAGATTATGAATTCACTCAGAGAAGCTAATGCTGCTTTTGTGTCCTTGTTAGTTGCAAATTTAAGTTTGTGTGTGAAAAAAGCCATCTACATCAAAACATTAAAAATAGTTTTATTATTCTGCTGTTTTTGCTTGAACATTGTATCGAAAGCTTTTTTTAAAAACTGAGTTGTTTCCAAAATAAAGCTACCATATGAATGCAACATAAACAACAGAAATACACATATTCATTAGGATCTGGACATCTGCAAGCCCATGATTTTATTACCAAATTACATAAATTCTTCAGAAATATTCACCTCTGTCAATGTTCTTAGGTTTCATATAATGCCAACTATGTGTGCTAATAAATGGTCAAAAATTATTTGCCATAGTCTAGAATGGGGAAGCATTTTCGATTTCCATTTGTCATTATGCATACTTAATTAATTATTCATAATAAGTATATATTGCTAAGGAGTCAACAGATGGCATTATAATTTCATCAGATGGCATTATAATGTTCTGGCTAGTTCAAGAACTTTTATTTACTCTGTATTTAGAACTGGACCATTTTCCTCATTATGTTCTGTGGAATTAGGAATCTCAAGGGCAATCTCTAATATTTCATCTTCTCTAAGGGCTTGGTAGACTACGCATTCATCAATATTAAGCTAAGGAATTTTTTTAAAAAATGTATTCTTGCTAATCCTGGTCATGCATCTATATAGTATTTTTCTGTCAATTTAGTAACACTAGCAGCAAAATCCAATCTGAATGAAAGATACTGAGTCATATGTCCCAAAAATGACATGCTGAAGGTTACTAAGTCAGACAGGCCAAGGGTCACATACAGAATTTAAGGTATGTTAAAGACCAAAATATAGCCTCTGATGCTGGATAAAAGTGCATTGACTTTTTAATCTAAAAGATGTTTATCAGTAAGTATAGACGAATATTCTAACTCAGTTTGACTTAAAATTTCATCCTGAACATTACGCACTTGCTTTCTACGCTTTGTCTGGGGCTGTAATCTGAGACATCCCAGACTTCATCAGGTCATTGTGGAGGTCATTTCGGGAAACAATTAGAAAATATAAACACTTAATTCCGTTTTACATAATAAAAGATACGTTTCTGAAGAATATATGTAAAAAAGAAAGACGTGTTGCTATGGTAGACAGTTGCACGGATTTTGGCAATTTTTCTTTTGGCGAGCAATACGACTTATGGTAAACTCATTGCTGGATAAATTATTTATGGTAACCGATACTTTGTTGTCATTTTATTTAAAAAATATTGCGTTTTATTATGCATAAATTCCGTGTTTTAAATATTATTTATGGCTTCTAAATATTAAAAATGAATTTAATTTTGCATTTTATTTGAATAAAAATTTATTGTTTATGATATTTTATGAAATTTTATGTTGTGGATGATGTAATCAATGACGTCACTTACTTTCAAAGTAATTAGTTTTAATATCTATAAATTTAATCTAATATTTTAAACATTATTTATGGCTGTTAAATATTAAAACATAATTTAATTTTTCATTTTTTAAAAAATGGTTTTATTATGAATGATTATTTAAATAATTTTAATTCTATGCGTGATGTAATCAGCTCCCTGGTTGGTTACTGAATATTTGTGCATTACCTCGCCATTTTAAAATTTTATTATTCATCTCTTCGAATTCCTCAGTTTTCAAATGGAATGGATATATCCGTTTCGAAGATGAATGTTGTTATTGGTAATTACCAAGAATTATTGGTATCGGAATAAACAACGTTTCAACAAAAAATTAATCCATTATTTTTAACGATACTTATTTTTTTTAAAGTTTCGAATACTTTACTATATGCGTAAAATACATAAAAACAGCCTTTTTCAAGATGGCTGACGACTGTAAAAACCGCGCCAACAATTGCGCTAACGTAAATCGCCAAAAATTCGTGCAACCGTCTACCAAAGTAGCACCAAAACTTTTAATGTGAACATTGAATTTTTTTTTTTTTTTTTTTTTTTAAACATTAGTGTCTGCATATCTTGCTGGTGGGTGGGGAAACAATTAGAAAATATAAACACTTAATTCCGTTTTACATAATAAAAGATACATTTCTGAAGAATATATGTAAAAAAGAAAGACGTGTTGCTATGGAAGAAAAGAAATTTGGTTCTGGATTAAAAAAATATACCTCAAATTCTGTTGTGCTTTTAGAACTGGACCATTTTCTTCATTATAGTTATAGGAGTCTCAGGGGCAATCTCTAATATTTCATCTTCACTTAGGGCATTTTCTACTAACAATTAA